TTAATGATGCATGGCAAAGGGAAACGTAAGCTTGTGCTTGCTATTTCTCAAAAGACATCTTGTATTATCATTATCTTTGTTAGATTCATTCCTCTTACCTTAGGAATTATGGAACTAGTATTAGTTAAACTGAATAAGAGTACGACGATTTATATTTGTGTGATATCTGAAAAGAACTTAGAAAGTATTTCTATATGTTAGGTTGAATGAAATGAATTACTAATTGTGATATTAGCTGCCAAATGAAATAATACATGACCTAGCTTTGGCTTATTCCTGTTTTGAGAACCGTCGTCACTGCTCTTTTTAAATGCAGTCGCGTCACCTGTGAGTGATGAACTGCTTTAAATAGCTTCATAACCTTGTGATTATTTTTGTTGATTTTATTGTTTAATTCAGTTATTATTAATTTATAATTTTGTTATTTAAATTTTACACGCACGGAAGAGAACGTGCTATTAAGTTCTTCAGTAGAGTTAAATATATTACCTCTGAAGAAGAGGTAATATATTTAACTCTATTTCTAAAAAAGAGGATCAATGCATTTGTTTAGGAAACGTGCAACGGATGTGAAAAAAGAAGAAGTAGGAGTAGCATCGAGTTCAGATGATGATGAAGAGGCAGAAAAAAGAAGGACAAGGGCAAGGCTACGACGAATGCAGCTGGAAATGCAAGAAGCTCCTGTTGAAGAGGATGAACCTGACGAAGATGATGAGGTAAATATGATTTCTATAGAGATGACAAGTTTTAATATAAGTTGCTTAATTTTCGTTTTGATCTCTGTTTTGTCCTTATATGGCATTTAACAATCTCGTAGTAATTTTTTTTGTGAAGAAATTTCTGGGGCTATTCACTTCCATGTTTTAATAACGAAGGAGAGCTGCAGGAAGAATTTGAAAGACGACGAGCTCTACTGAGGGCACGTGCTCTGATCAAAGAAGAAGAGGAGCTCATAGGAAAACAGGAAGAAGCAGAAGAGGATGAAGACAGTGAAGAAGAATCAAGTGAAGAAGAAAGTGAGGAAAGCGAAGATGAAACAGTCCCCAGAATGAAACCTGTCTTCGTAGAGAAGTATATCCATGATTTCTTTCGCGTTTCATTTGATCTAATTTTTAATTGAAAACTTGATTTTTATATCATTATATTGAGGAGTAAACGAATAACAAAAATAGAAGAAGAGAAGGAGAAGGAGCGTGCCAAGAGGCAGCAAGCTGAGGAACAAGAAAGGAAGGAAAAGCGGAAAAAAGAGTCGGCAAAGGTAGCTCCATTTTGAAGCGCATTATTATTTTAGGCCTTTCCCATTGTCTAATTTCTTCCGTACTCTTCGTCGTCAAAAAATATTTTGTGGCAAATTTTTTGGTTAATTGTAAATAGATCATGTTCATAGTTCCTACTTTTCTGGGAGCTAAACATGATCTGTTTATAATTAGTCAAAAGTATGCCACAAAATAAAACACAGTCATGCTTCATTTCATTTCATCATTTGCTCAAGACGCCTGTAAAATTCTTTTAGAAACAAATATATGCATATTGTGAAAATACGTAAAGTAATATTTAAAACATATTAACTATGAAGAATAAAAGCGTTAAAATTTGTATTTCAAGAACTTATATGTAAGGATTTTGCAGTTGTTAGAAGAGGTTTTGCGACATGAAGCGGATATGGAAAAGAGGAAAAAGGAAGATAATATCGACCTGACGTCAGTTATAACTGATGATGAAAATGAAGAAATTGCATATGAAAGTTGGAAGCTTCGTGAAATGAAACGATTAAAGAGAAATAAGGAAGAACGTGACTCGTAAGCATCTAGTTATTTAGCATAATCGATCTTTTTTTGTTGCAGTTGCAATGAGAGAAACATCTCTCAGGATAATCGTTTGCCAAATTTACAAATCCAGGCGTTAGCTACAAAAGATGGGTATCGTAGAAGTGCCTCCAGCATTTTTAATCTGGTATCAGGTTCTTGCACGATGCTTGACATCATGATCCATTTGTGGTGGGGAAAAAATCGAGTTGTTGGATTTGCATTTTATTTAATGCCCAGATGTTCCTTATGCAAAGAGGTGGGATGTTTTTGTAAAGGATTTAAATGTTTGGCATAGATGGATTGGTTGGATATATCTCGTTCATTTTTTCTAGAGTATACTTAATAGCTATGGTTTCAGTCTTGCAAGAGAAAAAGCAGAATTAGATCGAATACATGGCATGACAGAAGAAGAGCGCAAGCAATATTTAAGAATGAATCCGAAAGTTATTACAAACATGGTTAGTGATTTCTGCTTATATGACTTTACCACTGGTTTCGTAAATTTGTGAATTTCCGAAAATCGATTTCAAGAAAAGATCTGTTTTCGGGAAGTTTTTAAATTCACTTTTCATCATAGTTTTTATTTCTTCTGTAAATAAGGATTTCAGCAAAAGAAGGGGAAGTACAAGTTCCTCCAAAAATACTTCCATCGTGGAGCATTCTATTTGGATGTTGAAGAAGATATATTCAAACGAGATTTTGCTGAAGCAACGCTTGACGACCAGTTTGATAAATCTGTTCTACCGAAGGTTATGCAGGTGAAAATTTTGAAATCCTTTCAATTTGTTTTATGAGATTTCTTTGTTTTATTTTTTAATGTTAAATCAATTCCATTTATTTGATGATCTTTTTCGTAAGCAATAAAAATGAACTGAAACCGACAATGATAGGTAAAAAAGTGAGAAAATTAGTAGGTATTGCTCAATAAAAGTCCAAAAACGTATACACAAGGAATAGAGGAGTTTTTTGCTGGTACTATGAAGATGTGAAAGATGCTGTCCAACGAACAATAAGTCGGGAATTGTTGTTTGCTTAGTGGGAAGAAGTTATATAATTATTATATAAATAGAACGTTGCTTGGGGGGATAAGTAATTCAGTTCAAGGAGTTATGACTATCGTTTAAGGTTAAAAACTTTGGAAAAGCTAGCCGTTCGAAGTGGACGCATTTAACAGCAGAGGATACGACTGATCATCAGGGTGCTTGGGCTGCCACGACAGCACTAAACAGCAAATTCCTCGTGAAACACGCCGGTGGTATGAGAAATAATTTTGAAAGGCCCGCTGCAAAGAAGCGAAAAACTGATGTGTAGTCCGTTTATTATCAATTTCAAAAAGTGTTCCGTTGTTGTTGACTGCATTGATCACTTTATTTGCTTTTTTGCGGCGTTGTTCTGTTATGATCATCGATGTTCTAATAATTGCTATAAAGTAAAGGTCACATGTATTTTGGTGCATTTATCAGCCCTAAAAATGGCTGATTCATCCCAAACCATGTGAAGAAGAGAGGAAGATAGTGGAGAGCATTAGTTATTGGTGTCTTTTTTCAGTACATTTTACGAAGATGAATCCTGTTCTGTTTTTTTCCTTTTTCTAATTTTACAAAGAGTTTTTGCTTCCTCCTTAGACTCATGTATATGTAGTAAACAAATAAAAGTAATAAGTAATCTATTTGCTAGCTTCTTCTCTTTATGCGTAGTTAATAGATTATACAAAGCAGTCCGTTCGCTTTTTAACAAAGCATGATTGTAATTTTTTATCTGTAGCAAGGAGTCTTGAATGGGCCACCCAGTACTTGAAAAGGTTTTGAAATCATCGGATGAGCATTTTTTAATAAATTGAAGGAAAAATAGGTAAAAGGAAATTAAAAAAGATTAAAGGAAGTATCAATAACAGAACAGCGAAAAAAAGAACAGAAGGTTACCGTTAACAATATTGCATACCTCTTGGGCAGATTGGGGTTCTGATGTCTTTGATGTTTCCATATCAGTATATATACGATTCGAATGCAGTTGATTTCTACAGTGATTCCGCTCTTATTCTGTCGTTTCCAACTGATTCCTTAATTACGTCAAAATTGCGTCAAATAATTTGTGTCGTTATTTTCTTTACCGTTGTTTCGAAAGCTATTAATTTCTAAATCTTACGACCATTCCTGTGTGTCGAAGATCTGTTTTCCATAGTTATTATCTGTTCTTATGTGTTTCAATTTGCTTTCACAACATTGTATTTTAACTTTTAAATTTCATACAACTACACGAACGTATAACTAATTTGAACAACACTTCAGATACAGACCTTCAATTAATTTGCTCCAACGTACTACAGTTAGTTTAATAGCTTCAAGACATTGTTATGCATAATATAGCTATATTTACATAGCACTTATTCCAGTCACTATTCCTTTGTCATGTTCATTTAAATTTAGTGTAATTTATATCGGAGTGTATATTGTGTCATGGTCTTTTCACGTTTCAATACATTTAATGATTGAGGAAAACTTTTTTTGTACCTTTAAGCAACGGATAAAAGGTGAAAGAAAGGAAGACATAAAATGCAAGTCTTTGTTTCTGGTTCTGCATCAACAAACTGGTATTGCAAGTGCTAGTTAAGTTCGACAATTACCGTTAGAATCTACGCCTTACTCTCATGGTGTGTTTTTAAACAAATTATATCACTACCGAGTTAGTTTATTCCGTAAGCTTGAGCTATTGGCAGTTGGGCGAAAAGATTGTCAATACTTCGATTCTGTTCGGGAACAAATTGCTCCTCTTTTAATTTAAATATTGAATTCGTAACAAATAATGCTATTCAAACAGAGCTGCTTCTATTGAATTTTTCGTTCTCCATAGCATCACAACGGGTCACAATATACTCGAGGAGTGTCAAGTTTTCTTTTTCCTTCTTTAAACTAATCACACACAGACAACAATTCTTGTGTTCTTGTCAAAATAGTCTAAGGCGGCTTGGTGTAATTTTCATTCTTTTCTCGTAAATCTTTGGGTTAGCTTATAATAACTTTTAGTGGATGGAATTTGAAGTGGAGGATTTCATTTTAATAGAAACGAGATAAACAGGATAGTTTAGCATATTAATAGAAGCGCTGCAAGATGTGATTTGTGACTCACGAACACTGTTTCTGCGTTTACCGTCATAGTTATGATATCGTAAAATTGGACCGATTTGTTTCAGATATGGGTCGTATGAATGTAGCAGTAATTCGTTATATGGAACGGGAACACTTCCAGATTCTTATTGCGGTTTGTTCTTTTATTCCTTTTAATTATTTAACGTCTATGTTCTAATATGTATTGTCTTGCTGTAATGATTATTCATTAGTTTTTCCTGTAATTGATCATCACGAATTCATTGAAAGAATCAGATTGATATGTGAGTCTGTTGATGATACATACAGTTCTTTATAGGTTGAAATGGGGATGAAGAATCATGAACTGGTTCCTTTGGAATTGATTGGATCAATTGCTAGAATACACCGCGGTGCTGTTGCACGTACTCTTAATGATCTAGCAAAGTGTGGCGTCGTTGCACATGAACGTGGGAAGCGGTGTAAATTGCTACTTCATACAAATTGTCTACAATAGTAAACATAAATATAAACTGAATCATTTATTTATCAGTTTATTTTCTGAGCCTGCAGAATGCTAGTAACGATGTATCTAATTTATCTGGAATTGCAGCTATTATATTGTAAGGAAATACGTAAGTAATTGAAGCTGTTATGTTGTTAGAAAATATGTAGGATTGTTTAGATGATGGTTATCGTTTAACGACACTTGGTTACGATGTGCTTGCTCTGAAAGCCCTCAATGCTCGGGAAGTAGTTGGAGCGGTTGGTAATCAAATAGGTATTGGCAAGGAATCTGATGTTTTTGTTGGTGGTGACCCAAAGCTTAATGTTAGTTTCTTTAAGATATGTTGCGAAGCCCTTCCTGTGATCAGTTTTGTTGATAGTTACTCAGTATCCAACATATAATTTATCTTTTCGTGTTACAGCAGCTGTCGAGGGCCATAAAACTATTTTCCATAAAAAATCTATAATAGAATATGAATCTGACGATATTAGATAGTTCCATTTATTTCCGTTACTTCTTCTTCTTTCGAAGTGCATTTTTCAGGACTTGGTGTTGAAATTCCACAGATTGGGAAGGACGTCATTTCGAAAGTTGAAAGAAAAAAGGGATTATCACAAAAAGCGGAAATCATGCTCTTGGCTTTATCTTTCAAGTCTAGCTGCAGCAAAAGAGTTCGCGTTCCTGAAAGGTATTTATGGGCTCTTTAACAGAAATTGAATTTTGTTTTGTTCTCAACTGATGTAAATAAGCTTCACGTCAAGGGATAATTGTCGGTAATCCGGAATAACTTTATAATATAAAAATATTTGCATAATCAAAGTATCGTTGCACACATGAAATCTATGTTATAGAAATCCTTTGTCTCAAATATTCTCAGTCATGATTTGATATGCTTTGTTTTAATATCTCAATTCATTATCCTAAAGAATATTATAAATGATTTACATTAATAGCTCCCTTATTACCACGGCTCAACTGACAATTTTTCTGATAATTCTATTATAACGTCAGGAAGAACAAATTTCTCCAATAATCGTTTCTGCGAAATAACAAACTTTTCAAATCAATAAGTTTTACGGCAACATTTGCGTTTTCTTGCTCCTGAGATCATATGCTTCCTTAATTTATTGCAGCACTACACAATCACAATTTCCCACTTCCAAAACCAATTGATAGATGTCGTCATGTGGTTGTTATGGATTTAATCAAGGGTACAACACTTTGCCATGTGCAACAATTAAACGATGTATTATTTCTTTTTCGTTGCTTGTCTTATTCAACATTTTTTTTTATTTACGGAGTGGAAAAACTTTATTTAATGAAATGAAATCATAGTGTAAATAACTGACTGAAGAATATAGCCTGAGTATATCGCGCTTCCAAGTCTGTGTCTATTATCATCGTAATTTTATTATTTGCAGTTTTATTTATAATTTAGGAAACTTGAAATTCTTATTCTATAGCAGCGAATAAATAACAAGATTTGATATAGAATTAATTTCTTAAATCCAATAATAAGAAGGGATTGGTATGAGATTCATTAAACATCGGAGCTTTTTCACCGTTGATCGTAATAGTAAACTGGAACTTCAACAAACGATACCTCTTCTTTTGGTCTATTTTTTTGCAATTTATATGTTATCATTAAACTATATGGCATAATCATTGTTTACTGTCGTTTCAGACAGAGGGACTATATGAAAAACTGATGAATATTATCGTGCGCTTAGCGCGTTATGGGCTTATACATGGTGATTTCAATGAATTTAACATTATGTTAACTGAAGTAAGGAATTTTTGCTCTCTTCACTAAGATTTTTCTTTATTTTTAAATATCTGATATGCAAAGATAAACGCCTCTTACAGGAAGAAGAACCAGTGTTGATCGACTTGCCGCAAATGATCAGTACTGATCATCAAAATGCGCAATTTTACTTTGAGAGGGATGTAAACTGTGTCCGGACTTTTTTTAAAAGACGGTAAATTTTTATTTCTTGAAAACTGGTTTGGAGCGTCATACATGTTTGTTTCTTTTGTTTCTAATTGCGAAAGGAACCTGAAACCTTAATATGTGTTTTAAGATTTAATTATGAGAGCGAATTGTATCCGAAGTTCGAGACAATGACGAGGAAATACTCTCTTGATGTTGAAGTAAATGCTAGCGGGTTTACTCCTCGCATGTCTAAAGCTTACGACAAGGTTGTTTTTCAGCCTTATCTAGTTTGTAGAAAAAATTCTTACTGTTACTTGGTACACTTTTCAATAGTTGGTTATCTGCTTTAGATGTTCTCTTCGTACTTAATGTGCACTATTTTAGTGGGGTTAAGAGTTTTCATCTTAATACTGTAGGCAGTGGAGAAAGTGCGGGAGGATGATGATTCTTCAACTATTACGGGTGAAGATGGTAATAGCGGAAAGTCATCTGATTCTCCGACTGAAAACGATGAGTCAAATGAAAATATGCCCAATAACGGTTGCAGTAATAGGTTTGTAATGTTAAAACGAAAATGAACATTTATATTAATTTTAAATGATATCATTTTGAAGTAATATGGATATTTTATCCCTTTCGTGTCGGTGTTTAATTCAACTTTTAATTATCAATAATGAAAACAATTAATCCATTTAAACTTTGTTCCTTATTTCCTTCTATTTCATCGTACTCTTCACTTTTTCTGCTACTTTCAAAAAATATTTATGAATTGATTTCAGTTTTTTTTTTCCAATATTTTTTATGCGATTTTTTAAGGCTTAAGGAATGGATAAAGAATGCTCGCAATGAATTGGAAAAGCTGAATGTTAACAGTTGTGAAATGTTGGATGACTGCTCATATAGCAAGAATTCTGAAATGTTGGATGACTGCTCATATAGCACGAATGAAAAGCGTTAGTAAAATAATGAAACACCTTTTATTTACCAATTTGTCATTAGAAGAACATCATAGTGCTTCAGTTCATTTCAGAAGTTATTTCGAATGATTCTACTGAAAGCTCTTCAAGGCCTGCAAATAATTTGTTGCATGAAGGACGAATCGAAACATCGCTTGAAAATAGGGTGATTACGAAATCTGTTTTCAGCATGAGGTCAACAATAGCACCAGAGGTATGATTTTATCAGTAAAATGAAATAAAATATTATAGCCTTTTGATCCTTTTATATCACTGTATTTACCTTTGCAACGTATTTTATTGAGTTTAGTACTTTCAAAGTGACCCTGAAGCTTCATCCATACTGATGTCCTAATGTCCTAAATCAAACATTTTCAAACACCTCGGATCTGTTAAGGGAAGACATGCAGCGAAGTTTCAGGTAATCCGAAAGCGCGTTGCTGCAGAAATGAAAGCAAAGCAAAAGAAACATTTTCGAGTGAAAGGGAAGGCCAATGCATTAGTTCGAGTGAAAAAAACCAACGCAAAGATTATTAAGGAATGTTCTGGATGGGATTTTTGATCGAATTTTTGAAATCATAACTGTTAAGTTTGTAGTCGTTTTGAGTGCAAATGTTATATTCTCTCGGACTGCTTGCAAGCATATGCATAAAGGTCAAACAATCTCGTAAGTCAAGTTTCATAACATGGGGAAACGGGGTATTTCCATAATTAACTTAGAAGAGTTGAAGTTATCGTGCTAACTGTCATACAATGAATAGTTATTTTTATGGATTTTATAGAATTTTTCGAGCTTTGCATCAAAACTTTTTTTATTGTTATGAGTTTGTTTGTAAAAAAACTTCAGTTGTCTATTTGTAATGTAATAAATATGATTACGTATACCACGTATGCTGCATATACATTGTAGTTACAAAGGACCTAATTTATAATTTTATTCCGAAATTTATCGTAAATTAGAACTGGATTATATTTTGGTGTTATGCAATAGTTTTTGCAAATGTACAGCTTAATTTTCTAGACTTCGTTAGGAAAGCCATGGAAAAATGTTCAAAATTAAGGATTTCAATTCCGGATGACGTCGAGGTAATCTAATTCATGGAAATGATATAGGGTTTATGTCTTCCCTCATTTCTGACGGTTTACATTTATTGTTGATGCATCGGTTTGGGATTGCTGAAGTTTTCAGTTCAAATTAGAGGCATTCACACTTCCGAATTGTTATTGTGGTGACTTGAAATCAGTACTGATACCAAGAAATCGCATTAGTGATCGAATCAAATGTCTTGCGCGGGAAATGTTCAACGTCATCGGTGATGAAGTAAATGTTGCTTTATTATTTGTATTATTTGCTTCAGATCTTTTTATGCTTCCTCATCATAGAAAATGCAAGAAATCGTGGATGAAAATTGTTAGAAAGATTTGTAGTTGAAGAGTTCGAAAGTTGTTTTAACTTTCTTTCCTCACATTTGTGTAACTTATTGAGCTTTCTTGTTGCAGCCGTTGGTAATACTTTGTATTCTGAAAGGTTCATTTCGATTTTTTATGGAATTATTTGAAGAGCTGACACATATCCGGATGTCTTGCAAGCATCCGATGGAAGTGGAATTCATTCGTATTAAGGTTATCGTTAATTAAATTTTTATTTAATTGTGTCACGGTAGCAAATTGAAAAACAATAACCAATGCTATTCTTTCCAACATTTTTAGTGTTATCAATAGCGTAAACGAGAAAAAAATCTTTGTTGGAAGCAAGAAAGAAGAAAGCTTTAGAAGAATGATTTGTTCAATTTAGCGGTGCTATGTAACATTTGCTGATAATTCATATAGGATTTAAATAGTTTTGTTTCTTTAATTTTTCTAGCTCAATCTGTTGTTAGTCAACTTAGTAGATATGCCAAGTCATTGGCTTGCAGAGATCTTATTTCTTTTTTAATTCAAAGTTAAATAATTGCTAAGCGTGTCTATTCATAGTGAATATTGAGAACTTTTTTCGTTATCTGAAATGCACATATCAACAAACTATATGTAATAAGACCCAGTACCACTGTTATTTTATGCCAGGTGAAAGTCATGAATGTTAGTAATTTTTCTAAATCATGCTCTATTTATCTTAGAGTTATACGAATTTGGAACGATGTGGAACGTTAGAAATAAGTGGTCTTTTAAATGAAAAACAGTTGGAAAACAAGAATGTCGTTGTAAGAATTTATGCTTATTGTGCCTTTGTTCTGGGTGCTTTCTAAATAAACGTTGTTTCTTAATATTGAATGGGTGGTTATATCTGTCTTATTATTCGTGATATAAATTCCGTAAATGAATATATCATCATGGGAAGCCAAACTTATGAGTCGTAGAGCTATTTTTGCCAACAAAAAGTTATGCTAGTTGACGTTAGCCTTATCCATACGTTGTGAATTGACCTCGCTGGAATACTATTACAGATCGTAGATGACATAGTAGATAGTGGCTTAACGATGTCACAACTTCTGAAAACGTTGGAAGAAATGGGGGTGAAACAGAAGTGGACCGCAGTTTTGCTATCTAAGAGATGCGCAAGAGAACTTAAGGTATCTTACTGTGTATTTTATAACACAAGATAAAGGAGAGACAAATCTAACATTATTGATGTTTATAAAGTATATTGATGTTTATAAAGTCTCATTGCATTTTTATGAATCGTTTTATTAGTGTCTTCAGGTGCAAGAAGACTTTGTCGCTTTCGACATACCGGATAAATTCGTTGTGGGCTTCGGATTGGATTATAACCAGAAGTTCCGGGATTTGGGACATATATGTGTAATGAATGAAGCAGGCATTGAAAAGTACAGAGTGGCAGAGTAAACACTCGATGAGTTTTTCGATAGCATTAGCGGTACTTTCAGATCTTTACTTTATTATTAGTTGGCGATATTTTCTCTTTTATTATATGTACTGTACCACTTTCATTTATACTCTCATGCTATCTACAGGATGCTAGTTAAGCAGAGATGTCCAATGGTACTAATTGGCACTAACCGAAGACTGTGAGAAATATAATTGTAGATGATAAGTTGTTACTGTTGTGTAGATATCATCAAGCTTTTGATTGGTTTTGTTTGTTTGCCAGAATTTTTTTCATTTCTATTGCCTTTTGCATTACCACAATCCTATATTTATTACATTGTAGACTGATTCTATTATCAGGTTTTGCATATTCTAGATAGAATTTTGTAAAGTATATGGTATAAATTTTATATTGGTTGATAAAGGACAGTTTCAAGAGGAGGTATTGCGAAACCTTACTGATGATATGTGCATTCAGTGTTAAGTCGACATAATTAATGAAAATCCTTGAATGGAATTCTGAATCATCGAAATCATAAACCGTTAAGAGTTGATTTATTATGAAAATAGTAAGCTTAAAGTAAATGGTGATAGGTCGAATCTTAGAATATTGGATCTTCACATTTCTCGTCAGAGCTGTGTTTCGCACAGTTGCAATGGCCACAATTTTATTCGCATTTTGTAACATTTATGTTTTCCCGTGGGATATTATGTTTTAGAAATGATCATAAATCACAAAAATACGATTTAAAAACTCGGTGGAGGTAAGAACTGTAAGCACAAAAACCAAATTTCAAAGCTGTGTCCCATGCTTCGTCTTCACTGTAATCATTACAGTTGAGCATGCTCTGAAGTAATCTAATAGTAGTTATATAGCGCTGGGAGGAGCTCCCGAATCTTTTTGCAAATATGTTAGCTGAATAAGGAAATTAGAATATTTGCTAAGAAGGAAATGTTTTGCAATTTTTAAAAGATCATTCCTAAATCAGAAGGATAAGAGTAGTAATAAAAAGTGGAAACTGTTAGCAATAATCGACTTTTGCAGCGTCATGAGCTTTTGCGATCCTTCTTGACAATTAAAATTGACGAAACGTTTGTCTCTGTTTTAGTAATAGCTTCGTTGTCTACACTAATGGAAGATGGCAACTTAGCCGGTGAACAAATATTTGACCATACTGCTTTGGTACGAAATCAGATTAACAAATTTCTGGATAATTTCGAGCGCAATGAACGACACAAAGAGTTTGATGGTATTATTCGAGCTAGTCATTCGGTTTGTATTACTGATATATTTCTCTTGATGAAAATCATTCTTTACAGTTGTTTATAACAATAAAATTTGCTGATGGAAATGATTTTTTGGTAAATTCTATTCCAGCCAGCTCCTTTCATATTGGGAATTGTACATTGTCTGGGATTAGATATTCTTCGGTGTGTGTTTTATGCTTATTATTTGGTTAGCTGATACTGATGTTGGGCATACTATTTAACTGCATTGCAGTTAGTAGAAGCCGCAGATGTCCCATTGAAAATGATAGTAGCAAGGGACAATTTGCGACAGCTTAATGAACAAATCAAGAAAACAACGTCTGCATTGTCGGAACTCACAGTTTCTCTTTATCGGAAGGTAATCAATTGTTTATTTCTTAATCTCTTATTGATGTGTTATTTTGACTCATTCGTTTTATGCAACATTTTCTAGCTTATTGAACTAGATCGCGGAAAACTTTCAGTTTAATAGCAGTTTGTCTCACTTTCATCAAGTATTCCCAATGTTTTCTGATAAAAACACGAATAGTCGGAGGATAATTCCCACTCTTAGAGTGTATAGTGATAATTTATTGTAATCGAATTTTATAGGAACACGAAGATTATTTAGAAGCAATACGCAAAAGTCAGCATGGGCAAAAATCGATAGTCGAATCAGCGATTGAGCGACAACGACAAACATTGAAAGAGAATGACAATAATGCAGATTACATCCTCGTTTCCCCCAATATTTCCAATACTACTGAAATTAATTTGGACTGAGATTTTTTGACTTCTTCATTTGATTCATTAATTTTTCTTCGGTTACTTTCCAAACCATTTTTTTGATGTCATTTAAAGCCGATTCAGAATTTGAAATTATATGGATATTAACTGGTAATCGGTAACAGGAACTGAAGTTTTCTCAAGAATAATAGGTTCGGATTTCTTCAGTACATAGAATTTTTTGATATATTTCTCAATTGTTTCATTTAATTAGTGTTAGTTAATTCAGTATATTATGCATATTACTCGCTCTGTTTATTTGCAAATGGAAACTTAGATTCCTATTGTTCATTGAGTGAATTTTTTTTCATATGCAAAACGTAGGCGCAGTACCTTTTGTAATCCTCTCTAACAATATTTCTAATCTTTGCAGACCTTCTCAATTTCGATCTCTCATTTAAAAATTTTTCTTTCATGTATGGGTCTTATGATTCTTGGTTCCTTGCTTTTTTTATATATTAAACAATATAAAATAATTGCAAGTTAGAAAACACTACGATTTTTAATCGAAAACCGTTATTTACACAGGATTCCCTATTTGCAAATTTTATCCAATTATTTCAACTGGCCTAATACATATTACCTTACGATTTCCATCAAAACAGGTGATGCTTCCATTCAGTAAACAATCTTAGTTATGAATTATTATTTTTAAATTTATTGCAGGGACACGCAATATGGCCAAAAAGCGTTCATCGCTGAAGAAGAGTCGTACTAATTCTACGGGTTCGGCAATGAAAAACAAAAAGTTTGTGAGACCTACGCAGGGGGCAAAAACAAACTTGACATTTAAAAAAGGCGATCACAGTTTGAATCCAGGTATGATTAAGGTTTCGAATATGAAAGTCAGTGGCTTGTTTTTAATCTAAGAATCATCACCTGATTATCTAAATAATAGTAGCTAACTGATTGAAATTAGTAATCCAAACTACTCCGTGCATTGAAATTGATGAACTAGAGTGGTATCTTTATAAAGAATAGTTTAGGGTTCTTCGTTTTTATATTTTAATGGTCCATTGTTACAGACCGCAAAGCGAAAGGAGATCATTTTCGCTCCAGAGCTACAATCAATCGATTACTTATGTACAAAAATTTTAAACCTATCAGGTTAGTTTTTCATCAGAAATTAGGACAATATGCAAGGTTATAATTACTTCAAATTTACAAATGTTTAAAATCTTTCTGCAGAGACGCTAAAGGTAAAATCGTGAGAGCTGCACCTTATCAAGAGAAATTGCCTTCTGGAACAGTTGCCAGAGTTGAACCTCATCGAAAATGGTTTGGTAAGTACATTCTTCTTTTACCGTTCGCTTTATTATGATAGATAAAATTGAATGAAATTATTTAAAATTAAGCAAAAGTGTTTGTATGACGATCAGGAGCAAGGGCTCTTTCGCTAAGACATTAATATTACCAGAAATTCGAAACGATTGATCAAATTTAGGAAATACTCGAGTGGTTGGACAGGAACAACTGCAAAAATTCCAGAAGAATTTGGGAAAGGCATTGGAAGATCCATTCCAAGTGGTTATGCGACAAACTAAACTTCCTATTTCGTTGTTGACTGAAAAAGCGAAGGTAACTATTATTGCTAATAGTTACTTTATTTCATCTAAAAAAAGAAGTCTTTTAAATTCAAAAAAATATGCAGTTTTATTCATTCAGTTAAATTGGCGTTGTGCAGGCGAAATCATTTGAAGCGATAAAATGCGTCTTACCTCTACTGCTCTTATACTCCTCAAGTGCTCTCCATCTTAAGTTTTAAAGCATTTTTAGCAACAGCGCGTTCACATACTTGACACGGAGAGCTTCGAATATACCTTTGGCAAAAAAGCTCTCAGAAAGAAGCCAAAAGTGAAAATGGAAAGCCTTGAGGTATGCTGTTTTATGATTATCATTGCACTTGGTAGCTTATAAAAGCTTACGAAAGATTCTAGATTTTCATATTTGCAGACATTATGTGGAGAGGTTGATCAACGAACCGAACAATACAGTGAGAGAGCCGACAGCAGTTTAATAAAAAATGCCATTCCCGAAGCAGTGGAGAATTCAAATCCGCTGTTTAAAGCCGGACAGAGCAATCGTGTTTGGGGGGAGCTATATAAGGTGCTTGTTTATTATGACTTATGTGCCAATTTTTTCATATCAGTTTTGTTTTTCAGCAATGGAAATGTGTGATATTCAACAGTATCATAAATTCCTCGAGCTTTTTTGTGCAAATTTTAGGTAATCGACTCTTCAGACGTTGTTGTAGAAGTAGTCGATGGACGCGATCCAATGGGAACTCGGTGCCTTCATATTGAACAGTTTTTACGAAAGGAAAAATCCCACAAGCATTTAATTTTGATTCTGAACAAGGTTGATCTGGTCCCAACCTGGGTCACGGTATATTGTTTGCTTTTTGGTTGACATTTTCTTTATTATAAATTTTTATTTTGTTTATTTTATCAAAGATTGATAAACGTTGATCAGAGCTGAGCTTCTTATACATTGTTTTGTTATTCATTACTTATAGTATTACTACTATTTATTGGGTTAGGAAAATAAATTTCTTGGATATTCTGCGGAATTTTAAAGTGTGCTTTTGTTTCAGAAGAAATGGCTGACATTATTGTCACAAGAACTGCCAACAGTGGCCTTCCATGCATCTATGCAACATTCGTTTGGGAAAGGAACATTGATCAACCTATTAAGACAGTTTGCAAATCTCCATAAAGATCGTCAGCAGGTACTTGTCCTACTCATTTTTCAGTGGTAGTTAGCTAGGGATTGTTGCTAGAAATGATGAAATTGCATTGCAGATAAGCGTTGGTTTTATTGGCTATCCAAATGTTGGCAAATCTTCAATAATCAATACACTTCGAGCTAAACGAGTGTGTAAAACCGCTCCAATTGCAGGAGAAACTAAAGTAAGTTTATAATTTCCTTGTTTCTAGATCTGTAATAAAGTATCACTCCATGATCTCTTGTAGGCAAAACAGGAAAACATTTTAGTTTTCTTAATCATCTGTTGTTGTAGGATGCTCTGTATTTCTATGTACAATTAAAAAAGCACAAATTAAGGTCTGGCAGTACGTTAGTTTGATGCGACGTATTTATATGATTGACTGTCCAGGTGTTGTTTATCCGCAAGGAGATTCGGAGACTCAAATCATCCTGAAAGGAGTGGTTAGTCCAAATTTCTATTTTTACTCATATTTTAATCTCACTATTATATTTCTCTTTTTATAATATTTTCTGACTTTTAATTATTCTTATAAAATGATATTTGTGTATATTCAAATTATATAAAAGTAAGAGATTTTTTATTTGGACTAGTACATTTTTATTACATTTTATATCCTGCTTCAAACGAGCTCATTGGTTGTGCAAAATCAAAAATTCAATATGGCAATATGGTTAGCAAGTGAAGTACACATATGCCAAAGCAATTTTCTTTTCATGCATCAATCACAACTAATATTAATGTAGAGTTACACTGTTGAAAAACTTTTTCTTCTATTGATTGCTTAGTTTTGGTGAAGGTATCTTTGTATCATAGGTACGTGTCGAAAATGTGAAGGATCCAATCAATCATGTGCAAGGAGTTTTGGATCGAGTAAGGGAACAGTATTTGTTGAAGACCTATTCCATCCAGCCATGGAATGATATATATGACTTTCTGACAAAAATCTGCCTTAAGATGGGTCGATTATTAAAGGTTAAATATTCTGTTATCTTAAAGATTAAACTAAAAGTAAGGGACGATTTCAACTTATGATGTTATGCTATTTGTAGCTTCAGATTTTTGTACTGAAGGCGAAACATAAAAATTGTTTTAGGGTGGTGAACCTGACTGGAACACAGCAGCGAAAATTGTGTTGAATGATTTTCAACGAGGTCGTTTACCGTACTATGTTCTTCCTCCGGGATGTGAAATACAAAATGCACATGGATACTGCGAAGATAAGGTACAGATTTCATTAATATGCAATTTTAAATTGTGTTTATTTTCATAAATCTGCTGATGATGTATAAAAAATAAATAACTACACATGTGATCTTATCTGATAGCTTCTTATCAAAGTTTGCTAGTTGATCTGTGACGAGACTGAAGCAGAATATGCAAATACGAATATATTTTATTCTTTTGATGTCATACCGAAAAGAAAAATTTCTAGTGTGCAGAGAAAATAGAAACAAATGAATGCGACGGTGAAAATGATGTTGCCGATGAGGAAAAAAGTGTAAGTAACTCTGAGTTTATATTTGCGCTCGATTTTCAACTCCGAGTTTTTTAGATAGTTTCTTTCTAATATTTTGCTATAAAGAAAATGGATTTATGTTTTTGAATATGAAGATATACAGTAACAAGTATCGGACTGCTGAACTATTTTTGTTGTTTCGAAACGCTGTTGATAGCGGTAATAGTTTGTTGTTTTAGAATATCGCTAATAATAGTGATAATTGTAACGATAGTGGTGATGATGATGATGATGAAGGTACTTTAACGGATCTGGATTCAACATGTAGTGGTCTTACTAACTTGTCGGATTTAGACGATTTAGATTTTCAACTTCTGGAGGCGCCGGAAGGTGTCATCGATGCTGGCGCTGAATCCATAGTGAATTTTGCACAGTTTTTTTTTGAATTCATTTATTTGAAGTGGAAAAAATCTTTCTATGACTCATTACACCGGAGATGGTTATGTTACAGTAACTCTAATCATTTAGGAAAAGAATGAACCAAATATAGAGAGACGACGGGCACGAGGGAAGAGGGCAGGAAAGAAGCTTTCGGAAAAATGTAACAGATTAAAATGTAGAAAGCCGTTCGAGAAGGTAACCTTTTAAATTTTTTTCCTCGCTTATGTGAATGAAAATTTCGTACTGTCAACCACACAGCACCTAAGTAAATCTTCATCGGCAGATAAGTTAATTTTGAAATAGAACATGATTAATGATTACAAAAATTACTGTTATCTTGTTAAATCTGTTTTGTCCTAATTATCGTGGTGAGTTGAAAAGGTCCAAATTAAAAAGTAATAAAGTGTAGAAGGAACTATTTGCATACTACTAAAATTATGATTTATCTGTTAGAAACATAATTTGAATGATTTGCAAAAGAAAGAGATCAATTACAGTGCAGTGGTGTCGTTGAATTTGGCCTAAATGAAAAAAGAAAAGTAGATAAAAATGCGTGGAGAAGAAAATTGGAGAAGCGTCGACGTATTAAGCATCAGCAATAACATTTTCAAAACAGAAGCAAACAGTTGATAGCATTTTCAAGATTTATATAATGGAAGGATACATGCTGATAACCGATTTTTGTTACCATTATCAGATTAAGCTATTGAAATGTGTGCTATGTTGTAGAATGAATGGAATTATTCTGAAGAAAGCATTATACTACTTGCAACTTGAAAGTGTATCATTGTTTCTTATTGGATTACCTGATCCCAAAACATTTTTTAATGACTCAGTCTTTGAATAGATGTCAGCTCTTAATATTATTGATAGGATGAATATTGCAACCCTTTTCAATTTGTACTTTTTCATCTGTTCTTCTGAAACAACTTTCTCATTTGTTTTTCCCAATTTTTTCCACATTTTTAATTTTCTTCTATCAGTTTTCCTGACTTCATGATTGAGTTTCACGGTTTTACATCTTCTCTTACTGCATATGAAGATCGAGAAAAGGCATGCTATTGTTGATTCGATCCTGTGTAACAATGTTCAAACAAGTTGTCAAAAATTTTGTCACTTTATTCTCTCTTTGCTCAAATTTCAGCCATAAAGTTTTACTGTCAACTATTAGAGGCATCGTCAGTACAAATTGGAGAATGGAGAATTTTTTCCTTTTTTGCGATTGCAAGGAACTTGAGGCAAGTGAGAGAGAGAATGAGAAAGTAGGGAATAAAATAAGACTAATATATTTATGATTAAGAAACGCGAACTGCAATTATTCTCCAAAAATTTTCACTGCAGCTAGCCGGAAGATATTGGGAGATGTGATCAAATTAAAAAAATGAACTTGTTGGGATGGCGTTATAGATAAAGATTAATCGGAAAGAGAGAAAAGAGAAAATTGTTACATTTCAAAAGATTTATGGAAGAACTGTCCATTTTGTACACATGTTACCAATGGGTTGTATGTGTTATCAAAATTTAAGAGGATGGGAAGGAGTGAATGTTAACCTAAAAACTATCCATTTTTATTCATCCTATCCCATCATTTCCATCTCGCACACAACATATATCAAATTGAATTATATGTACATTTAGATTAGACTAAATTTAGATTCATCATTCATTGATTAGAAAGATATAATGAAATCAAAGGAAGGATTAGTAGTATTGATAGAGTGATCCTTTCACGTGTGCCTTGTTTCATGGCATCCTGCAATGAAATATTAATTTTAGGTTTTCAATTTACTGATTATTATCTGATTATTTATTTTCTCATCCAATTAGGTAGAGTAGGATAAAATTATCACATGGAATAAATGATAGTAGAAATGTTTGATGATGGAAAAATGAAAACCTTTTGTTGTTGTTCAACCGCAGTATGTTGTACAATAGTATTGGTATCAATTCCATGATCCTTATCATCGTTCACAACCACTATGATACGTTCTGTCATTTCTGGAGTTGTGACAGGAGTGCTATGATGTTGCAAATGCGCCATCTCGTCGTTATTTTCTCTTTCTTCTTCATTTTCATTCTGTATCAATTATTCAACTGAATTGATTGAATTAATTTAATGTGTGGAGTTTAATATAAATCTAGTTTTCTATCATTGAACCATACTATCACTTGAGTATGAAAACACTAGTGGTTACCATTTCTGTGATTGTATAAAGATAAACAAACATTAACTCCAAAAAAATTAAAATATTTAAATTATCAATATAAGATTCACCAATTTTTGGATAGTAATCGTTGTAGTTTCCTCTTCCTTCGATGACCATATTATCATTTTATCCTCATCTTCCTCCTCCTTTCGTTCCTGTTCGTGCTTCTCCTTTTCCGGTTCATGACTTGCTGCAGTAGCTGTTCCTTCCTCCTCATGATCTTCCATAAGCGTCGATCGATCATCTGTTGAAATTGATGCTACTGATGATGACACGGTCGCTTCTTCTTCATCTTCTTGTCCCTTGGCTTCACCGGATAGTATTACCTGCAATATGATATAATAATAATTATTATTAATAATAATTATTAATAATAATTAATAATAATAATGATAAATAATAATAAATAATAATAAACAATAATAAATAATAAATAATATTAAATAATAATAAATAAATAATGACAATGATAATAATAATAATTAAAATAATGATAATTAGTAATAATAATAATAATAATAATAATAATAATAATAATAATAATAATAATAATAAAAGCAAAATGTAGAAAGACAGAAATGTGATTTTTTAAAAATTATTTTAATCCACATTTTCACAAATCTATGAATGTATATGAATCTGTACCGCTATTTTAGACTTCATCGATCTATTATCAGCACTTTCTGCAGTAGAAGCAACATCGTCAGATGTTATTGATGATTTCGTTAGAATATCTGATTCATCCTGTATTTTCGGTGTTACAGCCATCGTCGTTTCTTCTGTTCCCATGTCCTAAATGCGCCCAACATATTCCTAAGCAGTTGATAGCATACTTTTGAAGCACTTTACTTTCATCTTTGGGATCTTTCAAAGTTCAATTTTATTTCTTAGATGGACAAATAATGAATATATTTAAATTTTCCTTCCTTATTCGTTATTCATTTTATTTGCAATTCAAAAGAAGGAAATTACCTTCGCCATCATGTCATCATCTTCTGATACTTCAGTAGTTTGAGTAGTAAATTCTGCACCAAATATCCGTGTAATAACAGCATCGTTTTTGGTATTAAACATTTCATCTTCTTCCTAAAGTACTAACCAATTTTATACTTACACTTTGAATTACACTTTATACATACAATTACGACTAAATTCCAGGTATATCGAAGAAGAAAATTTAATTCAGTAAACAAACTATGATACTGCTGCTCGGTTTTATCGTATTTCCACCATTCTCCGATGTTTCTGACATTATTGTCTTGGTCTCATTATTTATTTTATCCTGTGCGAACGTCTGCAAAATGAAAAATAGAAGAAAACAAGAATTAACATAACTGATAAGAACTGATGGGTCTTTTCTTCATATCCTATGAAATCATAATCAGAATATTAAAATATTCAGTTAGGAAAAGATAATACCATGTTGTAATTGACAGGATCGATAATATAAATACATTGCTGAGGAAGTGATTCCAAGTATATTTTAGCTAATTGTTGTGTAGCCGACGATGAATTAAATGCATTATTTTGTAATTGATCGTTTGCTTCTATTACTTGTTTGAAACCAATATCCTACAAAGAAATCTTCCTGTTATTGAAGATTATTTATTAATTTTATCAAATGTTTAATAGATCAGTTTACTATAATCATCTAGTTTTATCGTAACCTTTGTTACTGAGCAATAGATTGAAAATCATTTATATGAAAATAACTTAGAGATCTGAAGTGATAATTTTCGTAGAAATATGACTTATACGAATTTATCTAAATGTATTTTTATACGAATTTATCTAATGAATGATTTCGAATAATTATTAATTTTAAAAAATCTCATTTTAAAAAATTAAAAGACTTTTAAAAATTAAAATTAAAAATTAAAAATTAAAAGAATCTCATTTTAAAACTGCCTTAAAAGAGTAGTACTTTTCAATGGAACAATTCGGCTGTTATCATATAAGAAAAAAATCAATATTTAATTTTAAATTTATATAATGCAAATTTAAGTAATACATGATCTGGTAATAATATTAATCGAAGTATTTCTGTAGAAAAGAATTATGCTTTTATCAATTTTGTTCATTAGATGAGATTACATTTTTAATTTTTTCTATTTAATTTATTCATTTCATTCAAAATTTAAGCGAATAAGTGCGAACAAAGTTAAAACCACAATTCTTTTAAATTTTCGCATTTTCTTTCTTTTTTGTGGTTTTCATCTTTTGGTGAAATTTAGAATGCAATTGTCAAGAAAACGTTGCAATTAACATTTTTGAAAAAAGACAAACAAACCCTAAGTAAATAACCGCTTCCAGCACACATTTTATTTGATTCCGCTATAGAACACTTCATGACACATTCAATCGTACTGTAATACCAAATTATTATGATAGATAAATAAGTAGTAACATATTGTGATAGATAGGTAAAACAACTTTATATAATTATTTTCTGTTAATAAGCTACACATAAAAACAGCGCTCACAAATTTATTGTTTATTTTATAGAATTCATTTTAAATCTGCAAAATTTCTGCAAAATACTTTATTAAAAATTATCTTAATACAGTCAATTAGTTTGTTATTTAATTGCATAAATCAAATGAAAATTTTATGTAAAAATTATCTACCGGCAAACTTGTGCAATGCTACTGATGGATATAAATGGATTAACAGGTGCAGCAGGTGATGAATCAAGTTGAACGGTAGCATCAGAAGGATGTCCACATTCAGTGGAACATTTATTGATACCATCAATATCCTCTTGATTTTCCATACATTCTCTAACCAATCGAAATTCTATAACAAAAATTTCGTATTGATTAAATTCGATTCATTATTTGAATAATTATTTGATAAATGAGAAAATTATTAAATTAATTGGAAACAATTACTCTATTTTTTACTACTTACCTTCTATTTTATCCTTGCAGATATATGTACTCAGTGATGCCATTTTAGCCAACTCATCCCGCTCTTCATCACTGCATGATTCAGCACATATCATTAGTTTCTTACGGCTGCTGCAATCATAACATTCTCTTAGACATCATTACATAACTTAACTTTAGAATTGATCCTAAATGTATATTTCTTGAAGAGAGAGAGAGAGAGAGAGAGAAAGAAAGATATAGTCAATGTCAAATTACAGTATCAGTTTGATTAATTTGAAGTTGTTCCTTAATTTCTTTCTTCCGCATGGCCACAGTATTCCTTCAGTTCGTTGAAAAAAGAATGCGGTTGTACCTAATGCACTCCGAGTGAAACAAGTAGTTAATTTGTGATCATCGAAGAAGTGCCATAATTTCAAGTTAAACTACCGCCTGTTATCGTCAAGGACAAATGTTAAACTTCCAGAAGTGCACTTATAGCTATCGATGACTCAGAACAAATGAACATTTTACATATTTCTCACAAGTCAAACGATTTTGACAATTGAATAGATTCTAAATAATTTGGATAGATTATTTAACAATTCATGAAGAATGATTTAAATATTTGATAGAATTGATCTGTGAATTATAAGAGATCAATAAAAATTATTACAATTTACTTCCCTTATCGATAGATATACCTTTTGTTTTTTTGACCAGCAAAATTCTCGAAGTTGATGAAGGTCAAATTTTAGCTTTAGTCAAACTGGTGGTAAATGATAGGTCTGGGGAAAAATTGTTAGCCTATCCTCCCAAATTGAACATTTAAATGTGTTCCATTTAAATATTATACTTAAATATATTTCAATTAAAAGCATGGCAGGTAATTTTAATGCCAGGAATAAATGATATAAGACAAAGTGAAATTCAAATCTGCAATATATAAGGACGAGAAACGTAATTTCCAGTGAAATATTAAAAAAAAGTAGAATTAAGCCAGCTTTTAATTGATCAAAATGTTTTCAGGATGGATTCCAAGTGCAACGAAGATGAAAACCAGAAATAAAATTTTAATTTAGACATGTATTACCTGCCATTGCAATTGGTTGGGTGGAATTGGAGGACTAAATTAAATTAAAGCTGTTAGAAAAAATTAAATTTGAAATGATTAAATTTAGCAGCTATCTTCTACCAATATGTTGTATTCGAGTACCATAAGAAATGATCACATTTGTTCATTAAGGTGCTAATTTTGTTTACCTGTTTTTCCAAATTTCTAATGAAAATAAGTTATTATAGACACAGAGTTAAAGAGTCAAAATACTACGCACTGAGTGATCCGTATTTCTTTACCACACATATTAGAAGGGCCAAATATATTTGAACTCCGTGAAATGCAGAGGAAGTGAAATATTCATCTCCTCTTTACTATTAACATTTTGTAAAGTTGTAGAGAATTGGTCTCCACTTTATCGTTTCATTGAATATTAAATTAAAAAATTTGAAATGTTTTTTCGGATAAAATTATTGGTGATACATATGAATGTTTTACAACTTTAGCTTCAAAATTGAAATTAATTTAAGCTTATTTGGAAAATACATCACAATATATTTTTAATTAAATTACTATTTTGCGTTTCACTTAATTAAATCCATAATTCTTCACAAATATTTCGCTTATGCAAATCATTTTGGTATATGCAATGAATAATACCATAGTTATTGGATTTAAAAAACAAAAGAATCCATTATAATAATGACTAACTATAAAAGGATAAACTTATGAAAATAAATAAGCAAAAAGACAAAAAGATATGGAATACTTAGATATGGAATAAAGATATGTAGAAATACTTACTTGCAGAATTCCTCGACATGTAAGACAATTTTTCCGAAATTACGAAGATTAGAAGCAGTAAAAATAAGCGATCCTTGTTTCGAGCAATCATTGAGACATTTACTACCTGTTGTCGCAAATATCGCAGTTGGCTGCGATAGAATTTGAGCCAAAAGTGGGACTAAATTAAACTAAAGTTAATAGAAGAAAATTGAGGTTGAAATGGTTAAATTTAAATGATAACAAAATATTTTTCATACAATTTTTACAGATAAAGTTGTGCATACATGTTTTAAATTGAAACTCTGCAATTTGTTCATTTGAATTCATTTATAAGGAATAGGATCAAACTTAATACAATTGCAAAAACTGATAAGAAGAAAGATTTTGAAAGTACCGTTCCTACAATTTGCAGTACCGTTCCTACAATTTGTACCATTCCTACAATTTTCAGAAACTTTTTTAATTTCAGATACAAATATCGAATATTTACAATTTTAGCGAAAAGATAACAAATGATAACAAAATGAGATATAAGAAGTTAACCTTCTAAAAAAAAGGAAAAGAGATGTATTTTAGTGCAATAATTCAGGATGCTAAATAATTCTAAAAGAATCCTTCTTGATGGTCCCTTAGATGGGAAGTACTTCAACGGATCATTGCACTCTTCTGTTCATTTCTTTCATTTCTCCGCAAAATGTCCTTCAACACAACGATCGCCATCAAATGTTGATGGTTACAGCTGACTTCCTTCATTCCAACTAATACTTTAACAATTTCAAGTCATTTTCTTTTGATGCATTCATTCAAAGTTCAATATGTTTTTTTGTTGTATGTTACACACTAATAACAATTATAGTGTGTATATGTGTGCGAAATGAATTGAGGCATGGAAACTATTTGGAAGGCCATATTGTTGATTGACGAAAGAAAATGGAATATTCATTATGCGATGTGATGAAGAGGAAATAATTTTGATTGTATGGAACGTAAAAATAGCAAAAGAAGAGAGGAAGGAGGACATTGAAGTGATAATTTTGAGAGAGATACGATGATATTAACCAAAAAAATTTTGACGGTATGCAACCCTCTGTTTGTTAAATAAATTCAGCAACTATGATTGATATACTATCAGTAGATATCAATAGATTTTTTTCATTTTATGTTAAAACTAAACAGATCAAATAATATTAAATAGATGCAAGTGGTAATATTTGAAATTAAACAATAGAGATAAAATAACTCAGAATTTTACTATATTGGAAAACAAAACTGTGAATTACTCATTGAATTACAGAAATCGATACAGAAGAAATTGATTTATAAATTATGAATAATTGATTGCTGGAAATTTATTCCCGAAATATCTTGAAAAATTGGTAAAACTTACCAATTATAGTTAGAATAAGTGATAGAAGGCACCAAATTTGCATTTCTTATTTTTTCGTAATATAGGGTACAAATTACGGTAAAATGTGATGATTACAGAATCGTTGCTTGCCTTCTCTTCCTGAGTTTTCAATACTGGCGATACTGTCAATTGTCTAAATGATTCATTTCTTTAATTTGAAGTTTACTAATAATGATAACAGAAGAAAAAATGCGAAATAAAATGAAGGAAATATAAGCAATAATGACTAATAACAAAATATATGCTGAAATTATTCAATTTAAAACATTAATTGAAAGTGTCTAATACTATATGTGTTTTGCTGATTGTTAATTCATTTCATATTGCTGAATAGATCGATTAGACTTTAATTATATCTATTGTAATTGATAATATTATCCCTTATATTTTCAATAAAATATCAAAAGTTTCGTGATACTAACAATTTTTATTTATGTTTTATTGATATTTTGTATGAGTTATTAGATGGCAAATATTTTGAAATAATATCAAATTAAACAAAATGATAAATTGAGGTAATATATGATATTAAATTAAATAGGTACTATAAAAGAATTTAGCCATATTATAGTAACGTATTATTTACTATTTGTGTAATTAAGATTATTATGGCCAACCAATTAAGTTTATATTTCAAATAAAAACAGTCAATGAAGGATCGATCACCATACCTTACAGATTAAAATATATCAAAAGATCTAAAGTTACATAAAAATATGGATAGACAGAGAAACCAATATAATTAGCTGTATCGGTGTAAGTAGAACATACTTAAATAAAGTTTATGAAATTTGATTGAAATTTCGTAAGGAAGAAATAGATATCTGCAACTTGTTCATTCTGAGAGATGGATGTTTTGATCATCATGAAAACTATCTGTGCCATAAGATGGGCGTGGTATGGATGAGCTTATTTATCCATTAATGTTGTTTATGTTTATGTTGTTCTATGTGGTGTGCTTATTTGTCCATCAATGTTGTTTATAGTTGTGTTGTGTGCATATCTATATGTATATGTGTGTATGTATATGTATGTATGTGTATAAATTTGCATTATCTGTCTGTACGATGATTTATTCTACTACAAATAAATATATCTACATTTAATGCTGTTAAAATTTTCACAAAATTTAATTTTCTTATTGGTTAAATTTATAATTGGGTTGGATAAGTTTTAATTGGTCTTTCCTCGTCCTCATTCCACCGTTAAATGAAATTTAACCTATTGAAAATCCTCTTCCTTCCATCTTCCCTTCTATATTTTCTTCTAATCTTTCTTTTTTGAAAAGGATTTTCGTTATTTTTAAAATTTAAGAACATTTGAATAGAAATAGACCATTCATTCTATTTGATAATAAAATTAATATTTGCTTTAATTGGATAATTTGGGGTTTTTATTTTTTTCTAATCCTAATTCAGAAAATTTTGTTTGGATGAGTAAGAGAGAAAGAAAGAGAGAGAGAGAAAAAGAACATTTTTGGAAGAAATTGACCGATGACCTTTAATTATAACTTATTTCTTTTATCATTCTTTTAGGAATTTTATTATTAAATATTGCTGTACGATCAATTCTATTATATCGGCTTTAATACGAATAGCAAAGTAATACATCATCATTATTCAAACTATAAAAATATCCATTTAAAATGCTTGAAGCGATAAGTGTGTAGGCGATAATAACTGGTATTAATGGGAAATATCAAAATATAAATGAATAAACTACTCGTTAGTATGTTGAAATGTTCTGAATTTTAACCTAACCTGTTTTCACTTCTTTCAATCATTAAATCATTGCTAAAGGCTGAAGATTAAATGTAAAATCTTCAAAATTATTTAATTAATCAATCTGTCATTAACCATACAAAAAAGGATAGATAATAATAAACAATGTTTTTGCAGAAGAAATTGTCTGAGTCAGAGTAATTTCTAAATAAAATATTTAATAATTCAATAAAAATAATGAATAAATGCTACACAATTATCATTAATCCATTTCTTTTTGTTTTTTTGATATTAAATATAACTAACTGATTGATATTACCAATTAAATTATAATGTTTAGCATTCGAATTTAATTAAAAGCAAAATGAAAATTTTAATAATTAATGAATACAGGTAAATAAAAGTTTAAATTAATGAAGCAGTATTAATTTCTTATTGATATAAATTTATAATCATTCATTTTATATCATTTATTGTTTTATTTCAATTTTTTGATAAAATATTTAAAGGTTAAAGGTTATCATTTCTCCTCTATTCTATCACTATTAGCTAGTTTATAAATTTAACACAAATTATAAGATATTTAATTTAAAACATAAGAAACGATAGTTTTCCCTGAAATTCAAATACTTTCAAAAAAAGAAACAATGAAAGCTATCGAATGAATGATACATAACATTGATAGGATAGGTAAAGGTGTGTATATGGGATGGATGAGGAATTCATCTCTAGGAGTATCTGTCACTAAAAGTTACTGGTGTTAATGAAATGAGAGCATTCATTCCCGACAATAAATCATTTTGTACCGATGAGGGCGGGAAGAGCGAAAGGCAACGGGAGGGAAGATAAAACAAGAAAAGAAATGAAGTACTCTTCTGAGAAACAAGCACCTTCAACCAATCAAATAACCGCTTCTACTGTTTTTTTCCTTCCTCTCCTCCCCCTTTTCCCTTTCCACTTTTTAATTTTGAATTTGACTTTTTTTTCTTGATATAGATAAGTAAATAAATTGATAAGCTATGATAAGCTGTCATCTAAGCCATATGCTTATAACACTAAAGAATTGTGCGCATCCGTCGTTGATGAATGCGATATGGTAAAAGTTTGATTTTATCAATCGTCGAGTCAATTTGTCATTTCATGTTAGTGTGGTGGCAAGATTGGAATTAAAAAATATTTTAAGATAATACGATAGCAATTGTTTTACTGCAATTATCAGACAACCAATGTTACATAATTCTTACTCAAATGCATTTCAACAATGAATGAAAAAAATGATGCAAAATAGTAATTTTATTCATTTTGTAATGAAAGCAAACATCAATGATAAGCTTCGAATAGCAAAATTTATAAAAAAAAAAAACATTTATGTGTATAATTAATTAAATCTTTAATTAATGATTGAAAAAATCAATGAGTTAATTAATCGTACTAATTGAAAACAAATAGCTGATTGCTGATGCAGAAAAAATATCTGAACCGTAGCGATAGTGACATTATTTCTCGTTCCACTACGACAAGCACTTAATAAGTATGAAAAATTTTGATGCAACATTTAAGATTGAAATTTGCATCATATAGTATATAGTAAATTTATAAAAAACTCAAATATATTTATTCAAATTTAAAAATTTTGATTTTAATTTTAATTAGCACAAAGAGTAAAAGATAAAAAGTAATTTCAGTTCTGATCTCATTAATTTCAAATAACTTATAGCTATATTAGGTAATACAAATAATATTATCAATTGTTGTAACAATTATGATAACAATGATAATAAAATGTTGATGCCGGTGGTAGTAATATTCTGAATCGTAAGATGATTATGTTAATACAAATAGCAATGTTGGTAGCAAGAAAAAAAGACATATAATATTATAATAATGTTTTTATAATAATAATAAGGCTTTGTATGGATTAAAAATGATCAAATCTAATTAATCAAATTAATTTATTAAATTAATTTTTTAAATTTAGGATTGTTTCAAGATGCAAGACAGTAAGTTTAATCATTGACTGGTTGATGATATAAGATGGTGGAACGCTTCCTTTCCTTTCAACTTTCTTTCATTTTTTAAAACAGAAAAAAAGTAGAGAAAATGGAATTGTGAAATAATGTGGTAACAGAGTTTAAAAGTTAAAATTCATTGCTAATAAAGTAAAATGAAAAATAAAAATGATTTGGCAAAATTGAAAATTTACCAACACGTTTACTTACTTACAGCAAAGAATTTCAAATGAATTAAAATAAATCATATGTTGTTTAAACTAAACATTTTTCTCTAATTTCACTTCTTTTTTTTCAATTGATTAAAGTTAAATTATATAATATGTTGATCTCTTCTGATTTATTAATGCTAATTAAATTATTTAATAACTTACCATTTTTACATATTTCTTTTTCTTTTCCTTACAACTTTTTTAATAATTTTACTACCAAATCTTTTTTGAATATTTCATTTAGTTTTTCAGAAATTATTATCGATATCTTTTTATCATTCTCAACAATATTTTTATTCACAATTTGTTAATTATTAAGATTTGTTTAATTACATTTTGCTTTTATTTACTCTTTTTGAGTTCCATTCAGTTTCATTTCTTCTGCGTTCCTTTTCTTTTCAATTTTTTTAAATCATTAATTAATTAATTTGTTTATTATATAAATAATTATTTGTTTATGATTTCATATTGTTTTTCTTTTGATGTAAGATGAAAAAGAATTCATTTATTCAATTTATTATGTCGTATTTACATGCAAAAAAGTTGTTATCAGTAATCACTGTAATAATAAACATACGTTGGAAATTCTTGAAATATTTTAATGAAATATAATATTTAATAGTTTAAACATTAATTTTTCGCCGCATGATAACTAACTTATTTCTTAACCAGAAAGCATTTTAATGATTAAACATCAAATTGAGTTGTTCACAGAAGACTGACTGAAGATTGATTTGTGATTAATTATTCAATTATTACTTATATAACATTGGAATATTTTAGTTAGAAGGAGTAATTAATTGTATTTTCATGGTTTCAATCATCTCATTTGCTTATTAATTTCACTGCATACTAAGTTATTTAATTGAATAAAACAAACTAATTGATACATCTGTTTCTGAACATATAGAGAATGAAGTGAATCATACACCACCTATTTTATCTGATCTATCTATCAGTGATATCTGGATGTTTCTTATCCCAATGTAAGCAAGCATATTGCATTGAGAAGTGAGATTACTAAAAACAAAATCAGTAAGCCAAAAATACAAAATGCAAAAGAATTGAAATTTTTTCTGTCAAATTTTCTTACAGCTTTTCTTCATAAATTTGAAAAACTTGTCAAAAACAATCTTTTCGGAGAGGAGAAGGACAAGGGAATGGGTAGGAAGTAGGATTGAAGTGATTAAGAAAGATGGCGGACGGGGTGTGGAAATTAGGAGAACGATAGCTTCCGAAAATGTTATAGTTTTCGCTCACTGTTACCCCATGTAAAAACTGGTTCCAATGGAATAAACAAATGCATGAAAAGCAATATTTCATATTCAACATGAAATGCAAAAGATGAGAAGTCGCAGATGAGCACAGAAGTGGTAATAGAGGCGGGGGAGTGTGGAAAAAGAATTGGAAATATGCGATTGCTTTAAGGTGTATAACTTGTGACATAATACATTAAACATTATTCATCATATCCATATCTATTTAAATTCATCCTTCTGCTCATAAATGTTTGTTGAGATTCCGTTCATAACAAGGGATGATTTTATGAAACTGATAAGCTAATAATAACTTCAATGAAATGATAATGTGTGAAGGAAATCATTTGAAAAAGAAATGGATTAGTCAAAATTCTTCCTTACTTTCATAGAATCCTTTTTTTTTGATGATTGGAAGTGATAACGATGGCACTGATAGCGATAGAGAAGAATTTGTTAAATTTCTTGAGTATTTTCATATAAATAAAAATATATCTTATTAAATATGAGATAGAAGTAATTAAACTAATTCCCATAATGCGTATATCTTGATTTTTTTGTGAAAGGATGAATTATTTCTTAAATTATCTCATCTTATAAAATTGTATGATTTTAAAGAAACTTTGGCTGAAGTAAATTAATCAATCAGTCCTATGATCGTACATGCCTAAATATTAATACTGCAGAAATTTTAGCGAAGCAAAATTTTTGCAAAGTTCGAAATTCAACGGAAATGTAAAACATATTTTGAATATTAAATAAAAAGTTTTAAGTGCTTTACCGATATTTCTTCCAATTTATTCAAGCCATCTAAAACAGTTCGTTACATTTTCTCATTTCATTTAAAATTCAGGCGACAATTTTTGCTGGTGAAAATTTTTTAAACGAAAAATTTGTCAAACATCTAAACAATGATCATAGATCATCTTTCGTCATACTTAACTTTTTTCCTTTTTTTTAAGTATGAAACATCATCTGCAAAATTATTCAAATAAACCACTATTCAAATAAAATCAATGTATTTATTGCTTTCAAATTATTCATAAAAAAAATGAATCACATAACTGTCGGGTATCTGTTGGGTTCACATATCTTTTGGGTACGTCGTCCGTCCAGTCGTGTAGTTCAGATATTCAAATAAGTTTTTACTTTTTTTTTTTCAACTTTCTTCTATCAGTTTATCAGTTGCTATCAAAATCTTTTTTCCATCTTCTCATTTATTAATAACAAAATAGATTTTCATAAATCTTAATAGATTGCATGGAAAGAAAGAGTTACTGTATGGCAATATTTTTTTAGACTCAAAAAAATTATTAATTGAAATTTACTAATTAAATCATAAATTATTATAAAAATATTTTACAAAATTCTTAACATCATGTGTTATGCAAAGATTGTAAAATTCCTTTTACCTTTTCAGGTAAATAGTAAGCAATAATAATAATAATAATAATAATAATAATGAAAATAATAAATAATAATAAGAGACAAAAATAAAAATTTATATTCAGACATGTTTTCATTTTCTGTTACTCTTTTAATTTTGTAAAACTCTTCATGTTTTCCTTACTTTTCTTTCATTCTTCTTGTATTTTTATTTGTCAATGTTTCATTAATTATATTTCTTATTTATGAAATAATTGACAAATATTACAGCAATTACTACTACAAAGGGTATAGAGTGAGTGGAAGAATGAATTGATAGGTAATATGACCGATAAGGTATTTTATACTTCCATCTATTTGATGTGAAGGAAGGAAGAAGAATCGCGGCGAGTATATTACCGCGAATATTACCTGCGCATCCAATCATAACAGCAACTAATAATATATTATTGCTAATGAAAAAAGAAAGCATTTCTTCATTTTCACCTTTCAATCGATGTGTAAAAATTGTTCATACAAGAAAATATCAACGAAATGAATTGTTTAAATTTTCTTCAGCAATTAATGCTTTTCGCATTTCTGTGAGAGAAAAATTGAAATTTCTTTTCGTTGAAACTTTTGAAAGAAAGGGAGAGAGAGAGAGGGAAAGAGAAAGAAAGAAAGGGAAGAATGAAGAATTTCAATCTGAATAAGATGAAAATATATATCCAAACGTGTTTTCATTTTCTATTACTTTTTCAATTTTCGTTTTACCTTTTTTTTTTGTTCTCATTAATAGGCAAAAAAGTTACATTAATATATGTGTAATTTCTTTTGTGAAAATTTATTCATTTATTTTTAGGAATGAGAAAATCTTAATCAAAGGAACATTATTATCACTTATCACTGATAAGCCAGCACGAATTACAAATAAGAATTAAATGCGAAAAAAGAACAATAGATGACATGAAATATTAGGTAAGCATCAAAAGATGCTAAATTTTTTTAATGATTGTCATCTTGTCTAATGGTATCACAGAAATTGATAATTTTCTTTTATCCTGAAATTTATTTCGTAATAAATTCTTATTCATGAAACAATTATCGTTCAACTGATTGCTTTTGTTGTTATCATTATTATTATTACAGCAGAGATCAACCTCTTACCATCTTCTTGAGAATATTTTTCTTTTTCAAAAAGTCAATTAATTTGATTAATGAATGAAAAATAATACAACTTTAAAATTTCATATAAATGAGAGATTTTAAAAAAAAAAGAATTAAAATAGAATGGAAAACTAAGTTTCCAATACGGTTTAATTTCTTGTATTTTAAATTTTAAATCCATTTAAATTAATTTGATAATAAACTGTAATTTTTCATCAGCAAAAACACGGCAATTTTTCATTTCAGTAAATCATGCTAGAAAACAAAATTAATGAATTAAATACAGTATCTAGCGTACTATTGAGGATATAAGTCAGTAATACAATAAAACAATATCAATTAGATTCAAATAATTTTCCACATCTATTTAATTATTCATGTAATTATTTGCATGCATTGAAATTGCTTAAATTTTACTCCTATCAATTAAATATTTGGTGTATTTCAAAAGGATGAATAGTAGTAGAAGAAGGAAATCATTCAAATGGTATACAATGATTGGAAAAAAATTTTCCAACTTTTATTAACTTTCTTTTTTTTCCTTCATTAAATTCATAAAATAAATTAATTAGTTTAAAAACAGTTTGATTAGGTTCAAAGTTTACATAAAAATTTAAGTTTAAATAAAATGAAGAGAAGAAAGGCAAAGACAAAAATATTTTTCAATAATATTTTTTGATTACAGTCAAACCAACTCTCATACAAAACATATCTAAACAAATTATATTTTATGAAATAAAATTAATGAATTTTAAATTAACAAATTATACATTAGCATATATATATATATATATATATTATATACCGTATCATTTTGGTTTGATTTAATTTCCTTAAAAAGCTAATAATAAATTTGCTAAATTCTTTTCTATTACTAAATAATAATTGAAATAATTTTGCTATTATTATTGTTATTATTATTATTGTTACTATCACTATTATATAAATTACCTTTTATTGATCAGAACAATAGTTAAAGAAATGTGATATTAATAAATATATGTCACTATATATATATGTGTGTTTATTCATTCAAACATGCTCAAACATTATTTTATGTTACAAATAATTATTGTTAATGTCAGAGCAAAAAATAAAAAGTTATTTTTATGATTGAATGAACAACAAAATGTGAATGATGGATGCAAATAAGGCACGATAAATTCTCAATTGGAAGGTTATAGCCTAATAGTTGAAATAAGTAAAGCAGACACTATGATAACATGCAATTTGGTAGTAATAATAGTTGAGGAGGCTTCAGCACGCACTGATAGAATACCTGAACTTTTTTCGTCATGGTCAACTACTGGCCAACATTCTGGACAAGCATCCTGCAACGATCTCGTCTGCTTGGCCATATAGGTTGTCTTTACCTGTAATATTGAAACTCAATCAAATTCCTTTTTTGGATCCAAGTAAATTAATGAGTCAGTAAGTTAATCAAATTAAAATTTTGATTTCAATTATTCTTTTTAATAGACTTCTGTAGAAGATTCATAAGTAATAATTTACGATAATATATCAGATACATATAATTGCATTAAATGAAGCCAATATTGTTAAAATTTTATGGAAGACGAAAATTAATCATAATTAGAAGATAATTTTCATTATAAGTTGTACCACAAACACAATACCTGTTGTTCAGGATCATAGTAGTCGAAGAGTACAACTTGCGCCGGTTTTTGTTCTGATATTTGATAAACCATATCACTGTATAGTGAGAGACATACTGGTGTTGAGCCAATCTGTAAACATACTCTGCTTTGGTAAAGTTCGTAATGGGTGTAGAAAATTTCTCCTATCATTAATCTTCACAGATAGAAGGTGTAATCAGCTTTATTTAAATATTTCAACAAGTCTGATAAAATATTTTCGACTAGTAAAAAAATATCCTAATAAATTTAAAAAAAAGAATTGATCATGCTTGCTTAAGTGTAATTGAGAAGAAAACGATAATCAATTCCCGCACTAATCTAATTTAATAGTAAGTGATATTCTTTCCAGTTATAGATTTTATTTCATCAATTAAAATCTTTAGAAAAATGTTAAATTGATACAGGATTGAAATATAAATTCATCCTAGTATCCTCTTTATCCAATTCAGCTCTCTGCAAATCGCCAATATCCATAAGGTTGCCAAGTTGATCACCATCAAAACGAAATCCGGATAAAGCATCTACTTCAGCAACTGCCATATTGGAACGTGAATTTGGTTTAGTGTAGCTGGAAGGAAAAAAGTGCTGTAATTAAATTAATAAATGGAAGACAATTTAGGAAATAAAAAAAATCATTAGGAAATTGGACATAAAAGATCGGAATGGAAATATTTGATATGAATGGTTACTATGAGGTCATCCACAAGAAATTATCATTTGGTAATTTATTGAACAAAAGAAAAGTACTTGCAACATAGATCAAGCTGTAATCGATTTCCGCTGTGCAATTCACGAACTTCTTTTGTACAATAGAACGGAAGATCGTCTCTCATTGTGGTACGGTGATATGAATACTGTAGTTGTGCAAGAACGACACCATTACCTTGAGCTTCCAGCTCTAATCTTTTGTCCAAATTTGATAGCTATAATGGATATTTCCATTTGTTGTCCACTCATTCTCACTAATTTGGAGAGGATATAAGAAAGAGTAGAATGAATGTCGCTTTTAAAATTAAATGAAACGGAAATGAAAATTTATAAACAAAAGATATTTCTATTTCAAGAAAATTTAATTAAATATCATAAAAGAAGATAGTGATAATTTGGATGGTAATTTATCGTTACCACCATGATTACAATTACAAATTACCACTTCGATTATTATTGTTAATGTATTATCGTGCTATTACTTGATAAGGGTTGGGGTCAATTTCGTATGTCTAATCGATCATTATCCGCTTTCATTTTTAACTATATTAATATGAATGTTGTCAGATTCAAATATTGTGCAGAAATAACTCAAATAAAAGTAACCTGATAACTTTGTAGTACCATAGCATTATTAGATGCTATTTTGAAATTGTGCTTATCAACACCATTTGTTATCATAATGTTAACACTGAGTTCAGGAGAATAAATTTTGGCTGCATAAGCAGCCAAAGCTTGTAATGCCATCACTGTATCCTAAAGTGCATCACATTATTAGTGATAATTATGAATCAAACAGCAATGAATATATTTATTTATAAATGTATGAGATAATTCATTGATCTAACCTGCGTACTACTGAAGCCGCCATATGCATTTCGCTGTGATGTAAGCCATCTCACCACAGGGAAAGCTTTATCAGTATCATCTCTTATCATATAAGTAAGTAAAACATAGGCTGTCATTTCCACATCCACCGGTTTTGGCTGATAGAAATAATGCTGTGTATCCTTTGGCTTCTCCTGGCCGACTTTCATAGACCAATAAATACCATCTACAATTTTAGAAATTAAATTTTGTCACTGAAAAAAGTGTAAAAATAGCCATTAGAATGGATGATATCTTTTAAATTCAAAGGAATACTCAGCCAAAGTTCTCATCTTTTCTTTTAAATCATATAGTTTATGCATGATTTACGCACAAATACTACAACTGAAAATATAATTAAATTGTGTCTTTTCACGGAAAAAATTTCATCATTTTTTTCAATCACAACTATATCTTATCAATAAGTGAAATGATAAAAATGACCAGCATTTTCCTTTTTGTGAGATTCGAGCATTCTCAATGCTTCCTCTTTTTTGGTGCTATTAGCTAAGTGAAATACATAGGTGACAATTGCTAATGAATATGGATCATTCTTGACTTCATCGAGATGTTGCTCCAAATAGTGTTGTGCTTTTTCATCCCAAACCTAAAATATTGGACGTTACATGGTCAGTGTAGTTTTTTTAACTTTAACTATTCAAATAATAACCGTTAAATTATCGATAAGTTAGTAGGATTGTAGTTATTGCAAAAGTTTACATAGATCACAAATTATAATTAAGTATGATATTAAATTCATCATTGACAAGATTGATTTAAGTATATTTATTTGTTAAATATTTAAATAATATAAAATTGACTCCATTTTCGAGAAGTGCAGCATATACGTAAGCGGTTAATGGTACGCCACCTTCCGCTGCACCACCTTGCATTGCTTTATGATGAACCTCACCACGTTCTGCAAATGCACCATTTTCCTACAACAAAGGCAATTAGTAATTTTTTGCTAAAATGCATTTCTGAACAGCACTAATTCATCATTCGTCTTGGAGCAACCGAAAAGAGGAATGAGGAAAGCAATGACCTGCTGTTGTTGAGCGTTCAAGAATGCAATTGATTTTTGAAGAATTTGCTCATCGATAAAAATGAATTGTTGAGCTTGTTTGAAAGATCGAACAACAAATGCCGTAAGCCAAGTTGATCCATGTTTATCGCTTTGACCAAACGCTGAGAATGAATTATCATTTCTCCTAGAATAGATAATTTCTAAAATTCATATATAAGAGATTCTCTTAGGGCTCAAGTTAGGAATTGATCCGTTTCATGTTAGTCTCAAATACAATGTTATGATTGGTGATAAATTTTCAAATTATATTACAACTATAAATTTTTATATCAAATAAAATTAAATGTTGAAAATTTTAATCAATTTCTTCCTTTGGATGATTTATAACTGTATCTGTCATCAAAGACTTAAATGAAGTTTACAATATACTGCAGCAGATCGCTCTTACCGCAATTTGCAATCTACTGTAGCAAAAGATTTCGTTTGTATAATACATCATATTCAAGATTGGTAATTCGTCGCAAATCAGTTCAAGACTAGCAATTCGAGAACTTCACCCCAAAACTTTACCAGTTACTTCAGTATTGACTAAGTATTTTGGATCAAAAAGGTTGAAAAGGAGAGAAAAGATAAAATGAAAAGAGAAAGACAAAAGAGACGAAAAAGGTATGTCATAATCATATGTCATAATCATTTGACAAGTATTTCGTTTATGTTTGGTTTATTTCATCTTCAACCAAATGATGACCGATCTGACCTTTTTAGTATTATAATTATCGATAGCAGCTTTAATTATCAATGATTGCTGCTGCCAACAAACATTACTTCCTTCAGTTCTTACACATAATATTTAAAAATTAATTACCGATAGGTAAGTTCCCGTTGATATCCCGATTCCATGTACTTCTTTGCTTTATTTTCAATTTGGGTTCCTGCTTGTTTGGTGATTTTTAGATAACGAAGTACAGCAATATTTGGTACAAAATTGATCATATTCTGCTCACCACAACCATGAGGCATACGTACGAGAGAATCGATATTAGCGAGAGCTGAACCTAACAAATCACCTGAAATGAAAATATCAGTAAGGATTTAGAGAAAAAAGATGTGCAATCACTAAGAAAGTGAGAGGGAAGATTAAAAATAAAGGGAAGTGATTTAAGCATTGCTTTGATCTCTCTCAAAAATTATTGATAAAAAACTGACCAACTATAGACATAGTTGAAAGTTACTACAACTACTAAAAACTAATTAAATTAGCGTTCATTCAAAGCTTACTTATCCAACCTATCAGTAATTTTGATCACTTTAAATAGTGCTAATTGTGCAGTCTTTTCCTAAATACCTTTGTTGCACTGATAAACTTTTAGCTCATTCATCCCAAGTTTTTATAAATAATTTTTTGCTTTTGTCAGCTTAAATCAATTTAGATTGAACTTCCAAAAGATGAAATGGAAGATAGAATATTTGTCACTCGCAAATACCATAATACCTGCTATCATTATCATCAAATGTGTATTGTCAAAAGTAGTGAAAAGTTAAAAAGTGATCAAAAAAAATTTAAGAAATTGTATCCAATGAGACGGATTCATTGCTGAATATTCGACTATGTCGTATTTACGTCAGTGAAATACTATATGCCATAAACCTAATAAGAATCGATCGAATCATTAGAATTGCTCATATAATAATTCCTTTAAAGTCAAAATAATAGAAAATTATGACATGATACTACCTATGACGTCAAATCGTGCTTTCCGAGATCCTTCTACAGCATCCATTGGAAATTGCATATCTATTTGCTTTTTAATTTTGCCAGTACCATTCGTCTGTGTTAAATCGATCATTACAAGAGTATTCCTGTCTACTCGATATCCTTCCGGCTACAATTCATGTCTAATTATTAATTTTCGCTACATGCTTAATTGATGACAGATAAAAAAAAGGTAATAACATACCTCAACTCGCAGTACTTGTTCTACCGCATCACCTGCTATAGCAGATTTCGCCGTCACGGAAAGCATCACATTACCAATTTTTGTTGGTACAATCGGAAAGTAAACTGCTTTGGATACACCACCACTCGGTATTGATATCAATCTTACATTGTGCTTCTTACTTTTCATATCCTTACTGTAAAAGAAAAATACTGATAATCATATTCTGTATGATAGACTAACTAACTCTAAGTGATATTATTGAATACAGTTAGAAAAGTTTCGACAAAATCAATTAGAAAAATTATCACTGGTATTTCCCAAAACATGCGTAATATTTGCAATAACCTAATCTACCTGATAAATTTCTTAGTAGTACCGTCTTTTTGTAGAAAATCATAACCAATATCATCGCCATCTTTCAATATTACTGTGACCTGTGAAGAAAATTTATTAGCTAAGGAAGGTGATGATTAAAATAGTTAATATGTAAATGTCAATGAATTGCAAAAATGATAAGAACGATGATAAATAATATCGATAGAAATATGATCATACTTACAACTACGATGATTAATATATGAATGAAGAAATAAACCAACATCTTGTTCACTATCCATATAATTGAAGATTAACACTTGCAAAGCGAATTTCTCACCACGCTTCACAGAGTACGGTAAATTGATACGAATGAAAAATGGGCGAAATACTGTTAGCTAAAATTAAAGAAATATAAACAAAATCACAAAAACAATAACATAATAATAAAAAAATAATAAAACACAACAATATAATAATAAAAAAACAACGCAAAATACAAAAATAAAATCACTTGTACAGGTTAAATATTATTTCAAAGAGATATATGAAATATAAAAGTAAAGGATATCAGTTACTCATATGAATGAGAAAAGATATTTAAAGTGATAGATTTGGAAGGAAATGAAAGCATGATAATCGTACCTTTGAAGTTGATGGAGCAACACCAAGACCAGTTTCATCGCTGATAGCGAAAGCGCTCGCAATCCAGGATGTTATTGTATCCGGTGCAACTGCTTCGAAAATAGCTTCTCCGGTATCCCTGAAATACTGAAATATTCAAATGTCTACATATTATTTTCAATCTCTCATCTCCTAAATCTCGAGATAGCATTTCAGATATATAAGACGGAACAGCAATTTTTATTTTCGAATTTAATTATCTCTCACTATCAAATAGTTTGGAGTTCTTCAACAATCAAATTTGAAAAGTTTCAAATCAAAAAAAATGTAATTCTCAAAAATGTTACTGTAAAGTAATAATTGCAAGTAAAACTGAAGAAACTCAAAGTACTGTTTTCAGCTTAAAAATTTCTTCTCTAAAAATAATTCTTGTAGAAATGATTTTATTTCATTTCTACAAGAATTTTCTTTTGTCCATTTTTAAAAATGACTTTAATTAAAATGACCAATATTTTTCTCAGATTAATATCCAATATTTTTGCTCCTTTTTTCAGAGTTATTTTGCAAAAGTTCTCTTATCACTTCATAAAAAGAATACTAAATTTTAAAATTCAAACAAATAAAATTTCAAAATGTTATATTGATTGATTCTGAAAATCTCTACAAACTTCTTTTGAAAAATTGAATCTTCATCATATACACTATTATCATCATTAGTACGTATATCTAAAAGGGTAATTATATGAATTACTTGTATATTTTACTTACAACAAACTTTTTCTCTCATCCGTCTGAATTCCGGTTCAAGAAAACATTTCTGCGGAAAGGGAAATACGCATTTTTCTCTCTTTCAGACAAAAATAATCAATACGAAATGATTGAAACAGATCATTTCATACGGAAAAATTCGTTTTATGGCAGCTACAATAGAGAAACCCGTTTTTTTCCGTAAGATCGTTCTTTTCTAATGAAAGATTTTAAAATTTTAAGTGGTAATAATGGATGAATGTATGTTGAAAAAAGGAACAGATCTTTTGCGCTCTTTCAAAAAGACCATTTACCGCTAAGACTATGCGAATACATTTAGAAGTCCAACAATTTTAGTTTAAGCATAAGGAGAAAGACAAATTATAATGAATATTACTGAGAAAATGCCAAATAACTTAACAAAGAGTTAAAGCTAATGATTTCAAGTCTGATATGATAACAGTGATAGGATAATTTAGATTTAAATGGTACAGAAGAGTTGAGTTAAAATTTACGGGCATGTAGTAAATCAACTAAAAGAATCACGTAATATGTATGTGCTCGTGATATAAATAAACAACGCATCTCAGAAGTGCAAAAGAATTGTTGTGTATGAAAAGACGGTTAATGTAAGTGTGAAAATTATGACACGTTAAGTGATGTGAAGTGAACACGTGCTATCATAACATTTCATAAATTTAGTTTAGAAATAATGAAGAAAATAGTACGTGAAAGTTGTATGGCTTCATTTTGACAATAATTAAATTACTATGGCTTAAACTAAGTGAGCAATACTATATAATATAGCTAATATAGATCAAGATCAAAAACTGAACACAGATAACTTAGCTATCTGTTATTTCATTCACTTATTTTGTATTAATTAATAATATGTGATAATCATACTTCGATGGAATGAAAGAAAATGATAAGGATGGCAAGTTAAAAAATAGAAAAAACAGACTGCATGTTTAATCACTAATTTATTCTTGAATTACGATCAATAATCCTAATAATAAAGTTGTATCAGATATCCATTCCAATTCCTTATATTAATTAATCAGAATTTACTGTTATTTGTTTTGATAATCGACTGGAGCAGGAAATAGTTCATTACGAACAGAATGATATATAAACAATACCGAGTTTGCATGTTGCTCCAAACCCATGTTTCCGGAAACAATTTCCGTATCTTAGGTAAATCATATAGGATGGAATTTTCCTCCGATAATTCTTGATCCATACCTATTTTAAGTACAGAACGTGCAGCACCAAACGCGATTGCTGGAAATCGTCGCCAACTTTTGAAATTCACTAAAATGGAAAAAAGCCGATCAAGTCAGTTTGGAATAAACAAACTTCAGCGTAAACAAAGGATCAGGAGCTTTGCATAGAAAAGATCATGTAACCAAGGAAAGATGCTACAATGAAATAATAAAATGATTGATAAAACGCTACACAAAGATGACTGTTATTATCAAATCAATGATAATGCTATCAGAATCACATGTGATCAATGCATTCTGAATAATATCCTTTCATTGATAATGATATCATGCAGTGCTAATGAGAAAAAATAATCATTCTTTTACAGCTCTGATAAAGAAGGAGAAAAAAAAGAGACAAATGATAACATTTAAGGACTACAGCAATAAAGTGATACCTGTTCTGCAGTTAGCTGAAAGAGGATAGAATGACAGATCAAATAGCTTGTGCAACTTTGGGAAAAAATATGATATTTTAAAAAATCACTAAATTTAGTGATTATTATATTTGCTCAGGTATTTGATTATAATTATTTACATAATTGGCACCATAATTAGAACAAAGTTGCAGAGATAATTAATCTTTATCAACAAACAAAATATTAATCAAGTGATAAATTCATTTCGCTGCTTTCCTATCTTATATTTTTGCATATATCCCTGAAATGTATTGGGAAGAAGTGAGATGGTATTACTTTTGTTAAATCACACCATTATACTTGCTAGTGATAAATGCTTATCATGCTATAGAAAAACTGTAAGATAAATGCACCAATAAAACGCAAAGGATGCATAACATGCATCGTGCATCATGCACAATGCAAGATTGTTTTTTTTTACTACGTGAATACAATAACTATTGCATTGATTTCTGAAAATTAACTTCGAATTAAATCATTATATGTTTTGTAACACATTTGCAAGTCAAAGAATAATTATGTAATGTCAAAGGTGAAGGTTAAAAAAATTTTCAATTTACTTTTTTCCAGAATATGGAAAACTTAATTCCAGATGATGACATTGGAGATTGCAAAATTAACTGAAATGCAAAAAATAAAATTAACTGCAAAAATTTGCTTTTTCAAAATTAGTAAATTTCAGAAAATAGAAGGGTACTAAAGAGAAATATACGACAAAAAAATAAGACAAATATTTATCATCTGGAACATCTAACCTGACACAAACTAACTTATTTTCAGATTCATCTGATAATCTCAGATCCTCTTATAATTAGTTACTTATAGGTGATGTTATCCATCCTAGTTTGATAACTGCCGAAAGATCTCATTTGTTAAGTGCACTGATCGTTATGTCAATGTGATTTAAACAGATGCAATCACTAAGGTATCAGTGAATTATGTAAGAGTAGATGTGCCATGACAAGTGATCTGAAAAATCAGCCAAAAGGCATGTCATGCAGATTGAATTAGGACTATACAAAAGATGAGCGAAAGCTAATACAACAAGCTTAAATCACAACAAATATATTAGCTTACACTTGCACGATTCTAAGAAATTTTTCTTTTTATGTATCATTACTATACTATTTACAATACCTGGCTTTTCTCTTACAGATTACTGATCGTAATTAGGCTTCTCAGGCCTCATCAAAACAGTTATTATTTTAAAAAGAGACAATTTATTGTAATTAGGCATTATTGAAATCACGATCTGATATAACTGGGACTGTTGGAAATGACAACTAACTTCAATAGAAAATTTTTGCAGCCTGCAATGCTAGTGAAGTGCTTTTGATAATAGGCAAAAAATGATTACAGTGGAAATATTAATAAACAGATTACTATCATCTGGATTTATCAACACTATGATATCTTACACCATATCAACAGCAATGCGATGACCGGAAGCTTGCAATTGATTATGGCTGAATATTACGATATTATTTTTTTAATTAATGATCAGGTATATTTGTGGGTCGTAGCAATAAATTTCAGCCTAAGATTGAAGTATTGCAATGATACAAGAAGATTGAGCGATCGTGAAGGATGCAAAAAGTGCACGTTACATAAAAAATAACTAACTTTCTTCTTGCAAATTTAACAAATGAATGGATGTGCTTTTTGTGTATTTTGCAGAAAAGAAATGATAGACTTTGGTTGAAATGTGCAACAAATGGCTAAAACTTCCGACTTCTCACAAAAGAAGCAAATTTTTCGTTTTAAATTAAAAGAGAAGGAAGTGTTAATTGAGTGATTTCAGTTTTACACTCCTTCTAAATGAATCAAATAGATGGAATTTATTAATAGTAAATAAAATAAATCTTTATCACTCTAAAATTCAATTCTTATTCGCATTCTTTATCAATGAATATTGTGGATGTTTATCAAATTAATCAATCAATCAATCAATATAATGGAATTTTAGTTCGAATGTAAAAGTAACTAAGATTGAGTCTTCTTCTGTCCACACTTTTCTTTCTACTACAAAAAAAAATTCATATTTTAAAAAAAATAAAATAAAAGAAGACTAAATTGAATTTAATGTAAATGCGTTTCAACATTCTTATTCTAAATTCATCAAAGTTAGATGATAAAAGTGGATAGAATCGGTCTTACTCGGTAGCAAAGGTAGAGATCCATATCCAGGATTCCGGAAAATCCTTCCTTATTCGTGTGATTTCAGAGTTTTTCACAGAAGTAACAGAATTCATATCGTTTTCTGATACTGCATCAGAGAAATCACTCTCCAATGATTGTGCTACTACTGGTTGCGCAAATCCTGAAATATTAGCTCCTTCCGGCCCAGATGGTGATATGTTTTATTTTGATATTATTTGCACAAGCAAATAATATCAAAACTGCTTGAAATCCTAAATGTATTCTTGATCTTTTGGCATGCTTGAAATCCTAAACCTATTCCACAGAATGCTTGTAATTCTAAACCTATTCTTGATATTGTTAGTGATACTGGTAACAATAGTGATGATGTGATGACATTGCCAACCAAGTGTGATACTAAACAAACAATATCCATAGTGATAATATTATTGATAGTGATACTCTGCTGATAATTATGCAATAATTGCAACACTAATACACTAGCACTATCACTGGTAATATCAATGGTATTTTCACTGATAGAACTATTAATAAGAACTACAATAACATATTAAGAAAAGTGTGATAATTATGTGAAAATTAATCAGCTTTTAGTTAGCACAAAAAAATTATATAAATGAATATTTCTTGTTAATTAAAATGAAAAATGTAATATAACAATTGATTAATTTATTAATTAATGCATTTTGTTAGTACCGTAACCTTAACAATGAGCAAATAGTAATGTAAGTGAAAGAATTATAAATAAGGAATGCTTTATATGATAAATATGAAATAAACTATTACTAATGATATAATTTTATCTCTTCTTAAATTCTGACTAATTTTTAGATCCTTTGAGTATAAAACAATTAAAAAGTACGAATGAAAGTATTATAAACAGTATTATGAAGCTTACTTTAAGTTTGAGTGTTTACTTGGATATCTCGGGGATAGCTACCGAGGAATAGACGGAATTCTTGCAATTAACTCTTTAAGAAATTATTCATTTATTATCATTTTTAAAGATATGAAATCGAGAATGATTTATTTTTTAACCATTAAGCATTTCTAAATTAACGCATTGAAAAATTATAAAAAAATCGTGTGAAGTAAAATCATGCATTAAATGATACCAAAAGTTAGAAAGTTTAGCAATTTGCATTTAAGTATAATAGACAGGTAAAGCAGAAAAAAAATGATCACATAGAAAGATTGATTGGTCAGCAGATTTACTTTTAATGGTCATCTTTATCATTTCCCCTCTGGTTGTTCTTATTGTATCCCATGCATAATTATCCACCTAACTGCACTATCATGTAGGATAAGCTCTTAAAAACTATTAAGAAAGTGATTCACATTAGCCAGACAGAAAAGCTATCATCTCTTGAACTGTCCCAGAAAGGCTCATTAAGTATTCTCTCCTATTCCTATGAATAAAAATTCGTATACATGTATGAATATTAATTTTGGTTAGTTATATATAAATTAAGCAATGGTTAGCATCGGCAAATAAATTATTTGGAAAATAGCAATAAAGCGTGAAGTATCGGTTCAAACTGTAAAGCATGCATTTCATTCTGATCCTTATTCTATCAATCTCACTATAAAAAGTTAACTGATATAAAATTTGGAAAAAAAATGATAATGAAATTTCAAAAAGATAATTAAATATATAAATAAATCTAAGATAACGCATCATAATGCTTCAAAGGTTAAAGGTGAAATCTTTTCACTTTATCTCTCTTTTCCGCAATTCTTATGCTATAATAATGTATGAAGTTCAGAAATTATATGAAACTCAGAAGCTATAATATTACCACAAAATACTTACTTGCAATATTAGGCAATCCATGAAACAGAAGCGCATCTGTTAGAACAACCAAACCCGAGTTCTGTAAATTCATTCATTCTTTCCCGGATATAAGAAAAAAATCTATCTCTTCGATCTTTTTAATATTTGGATATACAATGTTGCTTTTTTCTGTTCATTCATTAAAAAGCTTTTGCAAAAATAATGGACAAAAGCGCCTAACCTCAAAAATCGTTGCCGCATCTTTACCACCAATTCCCCACCATGGATACCAAACAGATCGCTTTCGACGTAAAATATCTGCTTCCCATGATCGGAAATCATCATCAGTAACCGTTGTATCATATTGTTGCACATCTTGTTCTACCTGAAATAAATGATCATATGTTTTCCGGCAATCATAATGGAAAATTCTTATATATCTCGGTAGTTGAAATTTATAAGTAAACTAATTCACATTTTAATCCTCATGGATTTATTTTAAACTTACCAAATCTTTTGTGATGTCATTTCCAGATTTTAGAAGTAAGACACTTTGATCAACAGCAAGTAAAGCGCAATATGATTTCGGATCTGCTTTTATGACATATTTTACTGAACTACCCGGTTCTGCTGTGGCATGATCGACTGTAAGTGACACCTAGAAAAGATATTGTAAATTTTGTCCAGTTTTTAAAATTTTTTTCTATTATATTTTTCAACTTGTTTTACTGGTTTCTCGGGTTTATTTTCTAAAGTAATCTTTGACTTTCAATCAGTGGTTTATGCTAAATAATCTCTTAGCGATCTGCTAAAACTTATGATCACTAACATTGTTCCGGAATAAGCCATCAACTCGGAAATCGGTAGCATCGACTAAAATTTCTTGATTCGATGTTCTGATGGCATATACGACCAACATTGCTTTCGGTGCCATTTGTGATGTTGCTATGAATGTAATTGTTGCTAAATCACCGTTAACTGCCATATTTTGGACAAGAATCACCGATCCACGAGCTATTACCTGAAGTGTATCAAATATTATAACATCAAGTATTTCTGCTTATTAATGATAACTTTATATGTTAAGGTAACAGTTTCATGGTAAGTTAACTAGAGCGTCACTATTATTTGTTATTATTTTTAAAACATATAATTTTTTAAACATATAATAGCATCAATTAACAACTTGATAAGTAATTGTTGATAACGGTTCGGTAGCTTTAACAGTGAATGAGAGTGTTTTCCCCGCATCAACAACACCGGTATGATCGACAATTAATTGCAAAAAGTTATTTGATGGACTTTTGCCTGCTTCAATATAAAGAACTGAATAAATGCTCGCATCTTTGAAATCGTCTTTTCCAGAGCGATCATAATGTGCCTGCAATAATTGTTAATATTGCTGTTATATTTTAAAAAAACGAATTATTTTACTAATTTAAAAATTAGTATTTATCTATATATATGTGTGTATTCGATTATCTCAGTAATTAAGCAATGGATTATTGATTTGAGGATTTATCTCAGTCTTTTCGGAGGTAATGAAGAGAAGATACTAAAGGAATGTCGGGAATGAATTAAACTAAAGATATGAAATGTGAAGAGAGAAATGAAGATGTAAGCATAAGTTTAGTTTATACAAATAGAATGGAATATCAGATTCCGAATAAATCAATGGTAATTCACGTATTCCTCACTGAAACTATTCATAATTACTAAATAAAATGTTATTTTTCAGATAAGAAATTTGAAAATTTATTTCATTTTCGAGAAAAAATGCTGTAATGGCGGAAAATTGAAAGGAAAAAGTATTAAGTAAGATTAAAATAAGAAGAAAAATAACTTCAACTCGCGCTTCAGTGCAATTATTTGGTGGTTGCAGCGTAATTACTGCAGTTCCATGAGCATCCAAATCAACAATTTTCACTTCTTTCTCTTCATGTTGTGTTATTGAATCAGGTACATAAGGATAGCTATAGAATGTTGTCACCTGTAATCAATGATTTATCTGTTAAAATTCATCAAAATTAAGAATGAGAAATGATTTTAAAAAAACCTTCCGTTATAGCTTTAAAATATCTTCTGATAATTAATAACTTCTTGAGATGATAGAAAATTAGAAGATTTAATCAAGGTGTAAAGTTATCAAGAATAAATATTTATGTTACCTGTACACGTTTAGGTATGGTAGCCTTAACCGGTGTATTATCCATTTGTTTCAGCGTAATGACAACATTATATCCAAGGCCTGGTTTAAATGTTTCACCCTGTTTTTCCATATCCAACTTAACATCATGCCGGTAAGCGACAATCTTAAAATATTAAACTTAATTCATTAATTTCATTATAACATGAAGTTTTAGAAAAAAATTTTCTTGCTAAAATTGTAAATTATAAATTTTTTATTGGCTTATTTGTGCAAAAATTTAAATTACCTGTGCGGTAGCATTTCTTTTAATATCAGTCAAATCTTCAGTAACTGTTGCAATAATTCTTACTGAACTACCACCATATCCGGTCACTAATTTATGCTTCTTCAATTCATCATTTGTAAAAACGATCATTGCTTCTCCAATGTTATTCAAATTCACTGTTCGTTCAATAACATTCTCTTGTTCTGTCTATAAATATATCCATATTTGTATTATAAATCACAATGATAGGCATTTTTTGTGATATCTAATATAAATCGTTTCATGAAATGATAAATAAAAAGTTACATTCAAACCTTTTGAGCAGTTCCATCCTCTGAAATCACTATTGGTACCGAGAAAAGATGCCAAGGTAATTCTAATGTCACTTTTGCTTTACCGGATACTCCTTTTCCATACGTATATCTATAATAGATAGTGTGATAAATGATTCGATGCAAAAACATATGAACAATAAGAATTAATTTTATAAATTCGAATAATGAATATTGGCATGATTTTAGTTATGTTCTAAAATAGATGTATTGATTAGTTTCGGGAATTCTTTGAAATTGCTATGATAAAAATATTCAAATGTTATTAAAATTCTAATAATATAGTAATATCTTCATTCAATTTTTATATCGAAATAAATGATAACATTATAATGGATTTTACTTCGCTTCGATATGAACGCTTAGATCATCGTTGACAGTAATAAAACTTGGCGTCTTCACGTTTACTTCAAATTTTGGCAACACATATTTATCGACTGTAAATTCTTTCTCAAATTTAATACCACTTTTTGTTTTTACCATTATTTGCCAATCACCAAGCGGTGGTTCCACTGATAGTTCCAGATCATTTGAGTACACACCTGTAAATTATTTTTCTTTTACTCTTGTTTTTCTTTAGTTCTAATAGAAAATTGTAAACAATTCAATAAGAAATTCCCAATAAAATTGCAAATTTTCAATCATACCTTTCATCAATGGTTGATCATTTTTCTGACTAATAATATTCTGATTTGGATCTTTGATCATGACAGAAACAGTTTCCGAATAAGGTTTTAAATCAGGTGTAACCACTACTATACGATATCGCACTGCAATTCTTGAGCATATAACACATGATCATTTAAACTTTCTTTTTCAGAATTTATAAACTATGAATTAATGAAGTAAGACAATCTATTGGAGTTTAAAAAATTTAAGGGAACGAACCGATAGATCCAGGTTTGTAGATTGCTTTATCGGTTTGTATAAAGATGGAAAGTGATTTTTCGTCAAAACGAACATCTTGCTCATCTTCGAATAAAATCTTTGAACTCAATGTCTCGCCTCTTACATATACTTTATACAATGAGCCAGGTAGAAGAATTTCAGGTGACAATTTATCAATTGTTATTGTTTGTGGTATTCCTAGAAATGATCAATCGATAATTTGATCAGATAACTAATAGATCTATTTAAATAATCTATAGCAAAAGTCAATAGAGTTTAAACAATTGTGATAGCTTGAAAAGAATTCATTTGTTAAATTCGTAAATTCCAAATGCAAAATTTTAATTTTCTTTTTTATTTCATTTCATTTATTTCAATACTTTAAAACAAAGAAATTTTTTGGTATAATTGCTATAACAAATAAATGAAAGGTAATCAAATCAAAAGGAATTTTCTGATCGATTCTTAAGTCTCATTTTAATTGTAAGTCTTTAAAAGGTAACACTCATAGTCTAAGCCTAAACAATCTTTTTTTAAACCTCTTCTCTTTTATCTTTTTCTTTCGTAATTCCTTTTTACTTTCTCTGATTGAAATTTATACATCAAATCTAGCAATATGAAATACCAGTGACCTAAAATTTTTGACCTAAAATAGCTGATTGGATAAAGAAAATGAAACATTTTAAAGGAGTTACATGATAAGAAGAATGATAATAATGACGAGGATAATGATGACCTGTTTTGACATTATTCACAACACGAGCTCCCACTGTATCATTTTGTGCAGTTCGTATTTCAACTCTGACGATATGAACAGTTTCCGAACTTTTGAGTACATTCACCGAAACAGCATACGGTAAACCTGGCCTTACCACTTTAGGCGCAATTACCAAATATGTTCCAGGACTGAAATTTCATTTTCAATTTCAATAAGTCGTTTCATTGTACAACTAATGCAAATAAATTTAAGCTCTAATATTCTGTATTATTTCAAATGTACATAGTACTTATTGAGCCCATTAATTACTTGTAGCATCACATATCTTTGTTTATATTAGTTAATTAATCATTATCATTAAAGAATATTTAATTACATGCAACTGATATTTTGCTTAACAAGAGTTTTAGAAGCCGAGTATTCAAGACTTTGAATAAATTTACACAATAAATTGCACAAGGAATGATAAAAAATTACTATGTTTGTTCAGGCTCATTAACGGTTGATTGCTGCCAAATCGGTTTCAAGGCAGCAACGACTGTCAGACTACGTAAGGCTACAGCAATAAGGCCGAACAGCCACATGTTAAACATTTCGTTCCTGTTGGATCAACTGATCGACTACTATCTTTCCAGAAGCACCGATCTGTTGTTCTATTCCTGATATATTCGTAGTATTATGAAATTTAAAAATAAATAATAAATGAAAGTTATATAAAGCGTCAAAGGAAAACAATAATTTTATATCTAATGGTGATCGATATGACAATTTTTTTATGAGTTAAGATGTATGGTGCAAATGATTTAGTGTTACGAATAGATAAATGTTACTACGATCAAACGATTATTATCAATAAAAAGATGTAGTGTTAATTAACTGATATTTGTTCTAACAATCTCCTCTTAATACGCAGACAAACATTTCTCCAACGATCTTTCACGTAGATATTATTCGAAAAATGCTTTATGTAGAGATTTCCTCTCACAATTTCATTATCAGTTGAATGCATCGATCGAAATATCACATGCATATTTTATTTACATTTCAATTCCACTTTCATTTCAATTCATTACAAAATTGTAAAAAAGAAATAATACAGTAGCACTTCCTTTTACCTAGTATCCTCTCGAGGATTGATAGTTGCTTAAATCAACATTCTAAAAAAATCAAAATTTTTAGCTATACTAATAATTAACTCATAATCTAAGAATTAATTAAGTATCATAATTGTTTTGAAATTATGTCTTAAAACTAGCAAAAAACATGTGCTCTAAAAGTTTCACTTTAAATTTCAGCAGCAACATTTATTTAAATTATATTCTAATAGGATAGAATTTCAAACTTAAGGGATATTATGATTGTTGTGGAAAAGATAATTAAGGAGATATTATAATTATTAATTCCGTGAATGATAACTTTACATATTTCAACATTCCTTTAATTAGTTGTGTTGCGGAAGCAAAAAAGAAATCAATCCAATACTTCTGATTTTAAATATAGAAATTCTGCCAGTTGCAAAAAATGATAATCATTGTTTGATAAGGCAACCGACTAAAGCTAAGATAGAATGCTAATTAGCGATAAAAAATATTTTTAAGAAACAAATTATTTTCTAAAAGGTCGTTATTAGAGGAAAAAGAGTAAAAAAACGAAAATTTTAACTTATACAATGTATGCATAATTGAAATAAATGAAAGTAAGTACTGATAAAAAAAGCAAATTTGCAACATAATCGGATAATATAACCTGATCCGGAATCAGTTTTATATATTTACTAATCGATCTAGACTGGCATAAAAATTACAAATTATAAGTGGAAAAAATTGAATGTTGAAGTATCGCAGCATATAATTGTTGAAATTTCCTGTGTATGTTATTTTGCAAAACATTTGAAATGTTTTGGAAAGTATGAATAATATACTAAAATATGAAGCATAAAAATGAGCCATTTTGATGGAAATGAAATAAAAATAGAAAATGAACGGTTGAGAATGCATGCAATGACTGTAAAATAAAAATTCATTCTTATTGGAATGAAATTAAATGGCAAAATTGAATAAGCAAATAGCATTTGAGATGAAAATGGAAATGTTAGCAAAGTGTTGTGGCACAAAAATTTTCTGATACGACGTGTTGTTCATGTATTTTACAAATTTAGACCTATACAGTATCAAAAAGTCCGAAAATAATTTTGGATCTCCATGGCATTAATTCCTAGCAAGGGATAATTTCCGTAAATAACACAACAACAGCAGCAACAACAGCAACAACAACAACAACAACAGCAACAACAACAACAACAACAACAACAACAACAACAACAACAACAGCAACAACAACAGCAATAATAACAGCAACAACAACAACAATAATAACAGCAACAACAACAACAACAGCAACAATAACAACAATAATAACAACTGAAACAGCAATTACTACTACTATTATCACCAATACTATCGAATCAGATATAACTAATAGCTTACAATTTTACAGCTCTTAAAATAAAATTGAATTTCTTCACCCGAAAAAGAGCCATAGCAGTGTGTTAAGTTCACGTGATGATGAGGTGCAATTTTGTCTGCTGCTTCAAAATGACTCATCAAATCAATTTAAAAAACTATTTCAATGTTTTGCAGATGAAGCTAAATGACGAAGAAGCAATTGAAGATATGCTTAAATTATTTCCTACAAATGGAATGAATAAATATTGCAATCAAATTTTTCATAATAATATTTAATAAATATCCATTATTGATTACTCTCATATGCTATCAAAATTAATCCTAAATGATCGTCGTGAAAAAATCTGCGAAAATATCGCAATTAGTCCAGTTTGTAACGTAAAATTGTAGTATGAAAATGGGAAGTAAAATGGCATTGCCTTACGAGTTGGTGTGATGTACACATCGCTCGCTCTGTTTCAATTTCAAACCAGTTTTATTCATTCAATTTTTCGAAAAAATTTTTGTGGAGAAAAGAATTCCTTTTTTTTTTATTGGGTAAGGAGTTTAAGGATAGGAAAAATTCTCCATCGCAAACATATTTTCATCCATTGATGATAATCGGTCAGTTGAAGTTTCCAATTTAAAAAGGAGAAATTTAGATTTGTTTAATTTAGATTATTTATTTGATTACAAGTTTATTTTGTTACAGGGATAAATAATATCAATTGAAAAAAAGCAATCTTAATAATAATTCAAAACCTATGTTCAATTGATAATTCTATGATAATGATATCTATTTACTCTGATAATAATATAAATACGCTAAGAATAAGTACTACATACAGGAAAATAATTACGAAGAAATAGTTGTTTTGTTTTTTTGCTAATTTAACGAAAGAGAAAAAGAATTAATGAGAGAATGCATTTATCGTTTTATCTGAAATAAATAATCTTATGACCTATAACTGAAGCATCAGTCGATTTTAGTGAATATTATACGGATAGATATAAAGAAGAATGATTGTTTTGGGTTTTGCAATGATGTGATGATGATAATGATCGCAGCACATCTTATCGGATATGATATGATGGTAAATATTTTGATTGTTAAGAGAAAAAAAAATGAATGTTATCAAAGTGTGAAGGAAATTCCTATCATATTTAACATAGCAGACCATAGATCAATTTTCATTGATAAAATTAGCAAAAATTTGAGGATGAATTTAAAAAGAAGAAAAAAATTAAATGAGGACAAAATGAATTGTACAAATTATCGATGAGTTTGAAAAAAGAAATGAGAAAGGATCAAAAAAAAAGATCGCGATAGCAAAGGGAGGAGTTCAAATGTTTGCCCTCCGGAGAAGAATAATTAATCTTAATTGCTCTACCAACATTTCTATTTTTCATTTTTACTAATTAGTTAATCAAAGGTTTCCTTCTACTTCGCATATAATACTTTAAAATTATTCGGCCATTCCATTTCTCTCTCATATGATAACGACTCATCGACATCCAAGGACATTCGTCAAACAAAAGTGATTTACTAGTCATCCATTTATATGACACGCTGATAAAAATACGATAATGATGATAATGAAGTGGACATACGACAGGAAATACAGATATTTCAATGTATTACATTGATGATGTATTGCAAATGATAAGAAAAGTGTGTGATATCGTTTTGGATTGATAGAATAGATACAATCCTATAAGACATATTAAAATTAATAGTTAAAAAATATGATTTAATTTTATATACAACAAAATGTTTATTTTCGGATAGTATTTCAGATTACTTTCAATACTATCAATTCTTAGTTATAAAAAAGTATAGTAAAATTAATGAATTTTATGAAGATTTAAAAATACCACTAAATATGTATAAATAATAATTGGAAATGATAAATAACAGATATATTTGATTGATAGACAAGATTTGAATGATAATAATGTAATTTAATAAGTGATTAAGCAATTTTAGTAGCATTGTCTTAGTCTTTTTAATAATTATCAAAAAAAAGGATCCATCAAAAATTGATTAAAACAAAAATAATTGTAAACAAATTTTTGCGAAGAAATTTGCTTGAGGGCAACAAAAAAAATATTTTAAGAGTACTATTAATATTGAAAAATAATATGGAAAACTTGTTTTCTTTTTTCTAAAAATGTCCTTTAATTAATTAGATGTGAGTAATTTTTTCTGAAACAAAATGAAATTTAAAAGAAATAAGCAAAACAAAAAAAAACTTTCATTTAATTAAAATTTAATTCTTAAAACTATTCAAATGAATTTGTGTAAAAGAATTTTGAAATTTAACACAAAGTTAAAATTTAAAATTAAAGAGAATATTTTGAATTGAAATGAAGGGAATAATGATTGCGAACAATCGTAATGGGTTCTCATTATTGAACAATTAAAGAGGATAATAATCTCATCCACTTTTCTATACGCCATTCCTTGTTCCTTCCTATCCCACTTCTGTCACCATCTATTTTGTACAACTAGTAATAACAGCTATTATTATTATTATTGTAATAGTAATATCTCTCCAATCAACAATAATTTATTTACATCTATTTCATAGTTATTAGTTAAATTATTATTTGTTATTTTTTTTTAAGAAGATTTCTACAAATTAATAATAATAATATTATTGATAGATTTAACTAATTATTGACTAATTATTTTTTTACAAGCCAATATTAGTATTATTGTCAATTTGCAACATTTCGCGAAAATGATGGAAATGCTTTTATTTGCACATTTTTTTTATCTTTTATCAATCAATCATATCAATTATCTTTAGTGCACCTAAATTATTTCTCTGTATAAGTGAGATACAAGGAATTTCAGCACTTAAAAGTGAAATTATTAAGTGAGAGTCATTAAGTGAAGATCATACAAGTGCCTTACTTAAATTTTCTATATATGGGCCTATGAATAGCAAATCTATTGTCAACTAAAATTTGAGAAGAATTATTAAACACTGTTATGTTTCTTGTATGAATTCATATAAATCAAATGAAAGTTTCCCAAAGATTTTAATGGTAAGGAAATGTGAAATTTTGATTAAAAGTGAAAATGGAACTAACTCTGTCATTAAATTTTCATATTAAAGATTGAGTTGAATTAATTTAAAAAAATGTAGAAAAAGATAAAAGTAATTTAAAATTGAGTTTTGAAGAATGTTAAGAAACAAAAGATTATAAATTCAGATTTGAAATGGATTGTAAGAATTGGTTAGTGAATTGGTTAACACGACACGCATTTAAAATATCTGAACGAGATTAACGGCATTGAATTATTAGCTAATATCCATTATGAAAAGATATGACATTATCCACAATATGCAGAATTCAATCCTTGCTTACTTGTTTATCTTTTCATTTCATTGTCACCTCTTTTATCTTTCACGATCGTATCCCTACACTTTTATAGTAATAATTCATTTATTTAATAATTTATTTAACTGAAATTTCGAAATTATAAAATTTGTACGACATTTATGAATAAATAATACATTGGACTTCACTGATCGATAGCAAATGGTTAATTAACATGTATAACCAGTTTTGAAAATTAAACATTTTTCTTTTGCCTATCATAGGCATACATTGAATGCTTTCAAGAGAAAGCATTTCTAACTTTTAAACGGAATGTGGAGAAAGCTGTCAAACGTTAATATACCTTGAACAACACAAAATTTTATTTGTCATATTTCAAAATAAAATTAAAACGATACTTTAAATTATACAGAGGAAGGGAATTATAAGCGCAAGAGAGCAATATGCAGTTAATTGGATTAATAATAAAAGATTTTAATTTTTGATATAATCCATTTAATTAAATCTAATCAAACGTTCCTCGTTCTTTCAACTTTTTGTTAAAAAATTCTTGAGCATTCATTAGTTATATCTGAATAGTAAGAAAATTCAAATTTTTATATTTCTTTTAATTATAACTACCCAATATACTTAACACATTGATCATTTCAAACTATCTAGTACTTCTACGTTGTAGTATAGAGCAGATTACGAGTATAGAACAGTATATGACGTATATCAGTGTACGCATATAAGTGTATCAGCGTATGCAACAGTGTATGATATAATATAACTGTAAAATGTAGAAACATAAAATTGATAATTTATCGTAATATTGCATTGTCAGTGTGATCTCATGAATGAGCGAGCTAACCTGATACGTGATCTTAACATCTAGTATAGTATCCGAACTCAACATTTTTTATGGTGCGTATTATTTTAAATTAAATTATAATTGACGATGGGATTTATTTTTGTAAAAGTGTTAATAATTTTATTCCTGTAATATTTCTCATACATTAGATTTTCATTGCTTAATTCAGAAATGGAATGAACTCAGTGTTTAGCTAATAATTTCTTCTTTTAAATTACAGCATAATAATAATTTCTTTATATTTATTTATTTCTCAAGAAAAGCATAAGACTGGATTATCTCTAAATTCTTATTAAAATATGATCCAAATTGATTGCTTATAAATAATTTAAAGAAGTACCGCCTAAACCATTTTCCTTTGAAATTTTCCTTTGAAATCAATTAAGCTTTCAACATTTCCTGTTAAAATATTAAGTGAATCAAACACATTTTGCTAATCGAGCACGAAATGATTATATATGAATATGATTATTGATGTATTTAAGTCTAACTAATAGACGATAAGGTGAATATTTGAGAAATCTATTGAAAAAATAAATAATTCAAATTACATCTTGCAACAGTATTGGAAAGTAAAATGAAAATGGTGTACTATTACGGCAAGTATTAATATCGCAAAGGAAAGAAGAAAGCTTAACAATGATAGGGATCTAAAAAGTGAAGAGAGATAAAGCTTAAGTGAAGAGGATTACAGTACAGGGTTTTCATCATATCACCAATCATTGAATAGTAGAATAAATAAGTGGCATAACAAATATATGTCAATCTTTGTACAATTGAGCTGATTCTAAAGATAAAAAAGATATAAAGTTGGGAGGATAAAAGATTGAAGAGCGTGAAAGTTCAAAAGGTCAAGAAAAAATATTCGCGGAAAAAAAACATAATATAGGAAAGAACTAAAACAGAAGAAAAATTTGGCGTTTTCTGTTAGCTTTACTAATTTATCAAAATTTGAAGTTGTCAATATTTTTTTAGTTCTTCGAACGTTTTGTTCTTCATTGAAATCAGCAATGAAATGATTTAATTAATATTATCATTGGCAAAAAATAAAATTGCTATGGATGTAATTTGATCTGTGCTTTATTAAATTATTATAATTATTTAATTATAATTTTATAAAATCAAAAAGTGGCAAATAATTGCATTGAGTAATTTAAATATGTGAAATAAATGATTTTCAGTTCATTGCTATTTTATAGGAAAAAACAATTTTCAAAAATAAATTTGAAATGAATTGAAAATTATTCATGTTTAAATTCCAATGATAATGATTATCATTTTTTACGCTCTAACAACAAATGATAGTAAAAATGGATTTATCGGATTTTAAATAAATTGTTATTTTTGTATTTCCATTTCTTATTTTTGGTTTTGTAAAATTATAATTTAATAAAACACACTTCATTTTAATTAAAAATTTAAGCAATTGGACAACAAAAATTTCAACTTTCTTGAAGCATTTTGCATATCCTTATTTCCCCTTATTGAAGCTATTGATAATCTGAGAGAGAGAGAGAGAGAAATATTCCTCCAATAAGCCCTAGCCAATATCAGTATTTTTAATAAAATCATTGTAAAAATACAAAAAAAAAAAAAGGTATCGTATCCGATCAAATATCTTACCTATAATGATGCTATTTCGATTGCTGTAATTATTTGCCGATCGGAGTTAAATTAAATTTCAGTTCTTCCAAACTAGTTTATAAATAAAAAGAAATAAAATTAAATATTCTATAAAGTAAATAAGAAAAAAGATATCGGAATTGAACGGAATAAAAGAGAAATTTCATTTCTTCAATCAAAAATAATATTTCTGAAATATTTGCAGAGAAAAAGCGCAAATACAAAATATAGGAAATGAAGTCTTCCCAGAATGATCGAATAATTGTATTTATAAAAATTTGATAAATTAAAAAACGAAGAAATGAAGAATTAAGTATATTATCATATTCCATCTTTTCTTAAATAATTACCCTTTGAACTTTTATTGAATAACAAAAGTTTCACTTCTATTTTAAACTTCTGTTGGCAAAGAAAAATTTTGCTACTTTCGTATCTTTTAGCTATCTTTCAAGAAAAAATGATATATATTTTCAGATCAAGAATAATTTGGAATTCTTTTATGATTTCAATATATTTACGGTAATCAATAAACAATCATATTCAACAATAATAACTGATACAGTGTAGAAGGCGGAAATTTTAGGAAAATTTCATAAAGCATTTCATTTTTCAAGGAAACTTTTTGGAATTGACATTTGGTAGATTAATCTATCTAATGACAGCTGAAGTTATCTGTAATTTTAAATGTTAAACAATCGCTTCAGCCATTTCTATTAATGATATCATAAAAGAATTTTGAATAATTAAATCTTCTAAATATTAATTTCATTCAATTTGCCAATTTTTTTCCCTATAAATTTTTAAACATTTCATTAAATTGTTTGTTTTGATGGAAATAAATTCTTAGAATTTGCAGAAAGATTTTAAACGATGAAAATATATGGGAATGAATCATCGAAGTTATCTTCGAAATCTTTCAAATTATATACATAAAATATTATTTTTTAGAAATATTTTGATTGTTTAATATTTTTTCATCGTTTGAGTTTATATCAAACTGTTTCTTTTGGCTCAAATATTCTAAACTTGGACTTGGCTCTTTTTCTTGTTTCATTTTCTTTTGGCTCAAATATTCTAAATTGGCTAAATCATGTTTGATTTCATATATATTTTCTTTTGAGAATTTATTGATAACGTAGACAAATGCGCCCTTAAATGCCATTTTTATATATTTTTTGCGACTTTTCTGATAGCTCTACTTGAATTGGAATTGATAATTTATATGCAAAAATCATTTCTAAATTACTTAATAGTTTCAATATTACTTATTAGAATTTTGTATGAATTGATTTGAGAAATCAATGAAATTTCACAGGTAGGTTATATTATTCTTCAGATTCTCAAATAATCATATCTTATCATAACACAATAATCGTTTGATCTTTAAAGATTAATGGTAACAAACTCTTTGAACTTTTTAATATTTGTTTGTTTAAACGAAAAAAAGAAAACAGTTTGATATGAAGTCAAACGATAAAAAAAATCAAAAAACAATCAAAAATATTTTCAGAAAATAGTCTGAAAATGTTCAAATGGCTTCGGGAATTCTCTTCCTCTCGGGAATTCCCTCGAGAATTCTTCGACGATGTATTTTCATCTCTCAAAAGTTTTCTGCGATTTGTTATTATTTATTTAAATAAATAATTTAATTAAATTTTTGAGTGTTTATGGTAGCAAAATATTCATAACTTTTGTGGAAAGATAAAAGGCTTATTTATAAAATTACGTGACTTTGTTGGCTGATATATTTTCGGTAATCTTTGAGTACAGTCAACCAACTTATGACAACTTTATTGCACACTCACAGACACATAGACAATACACATTTGGCTGATAAAACAACGTGTATAATTTGTGACAGCTAATCCTTTAAGAAAGAAATAATTTGAAAAAAAATTTGTAGGACAGTTAAAAAAGTCTCCGAAGAAAAATAAATGCATGCATTGAAATATTTTTCGGAATTAGAATAAAACTATATTACTGATTATTGATAGGACAAAAGCTATGTTACAATATTCATTTTCAAACAACCCGATACCGTGATGTAAAATTATAATTGTAATAAGTTTGACCAGTCCAAACCAATAAGCCATCGTGCAAATTTTCGTCTACAACCCTCAGGATCATCGATTTCGGTGTACGACTGACCATTTACGGTACCTTCAAAACACTCAATTCCGGACTCAATACTTTCGATAAGCTGTATTATTGCACCATCTAGTGCAATTTCTACCGCTCGACCAACCATTCCTCTTTTCAACAAACGCATTCGTCGATCACCAGATGGAAATTTAAGATGATACATCTGAAAAAGTATATAGATTTTAATGAAATATTGCCATTCTTTGAAAATTTCATTCAAGAATTGTGAAACGAACTTGACATCGATCATTTCTGATTGATTTTAAAATTTAATCTTTGCGATGACCTAATAATATCTATTGATTCATTTTCAATCTATCATTTTATTTTAATTCTTCAAAAATATCCTTTCAAGGTATTTAAAATGAAAGAAGAAAGGTCACACATTATGCAATAATTTCAGTGTATTTCTTCCACTCATTTGTTGCCCATTTTCGTTACCATTTTCATAATTAACTGTAATATTTTCCAAAGGTATCCTATTTGAATCCCTAAAAACACTTTTAATTTAAATATAAAGACATAGAAATTGTAATTTCGAATTTATTATGCCTTCAGGCTTCAGGGTCTTATGTTACTACAATTATATCATAATTACTACCAACTGATAAATGATAATGATAATTACCTGAATGCTAATTCCTCCATATGTCCTCCATGGGAGATATTTTGTTTGGAAATACTGAAGTTATTTGCACCTCAAAAATGATTATCTTTAAGTGAACAAGTGGACTTTTATTATCCAACTATTCTTTCACTTAAAAAAAAGATAAATATTTTTAAAAGTGAAAATGCAAAATGACGCCATATTCGTACCATCGAATTTAACATTCATCCATGTGGTAAATGTGGTGCCATCGTTATGGATTGCAAGTACATTATTAGTTTGTTTACGATGAAGCATATTTACATAAGTTGATAAGCAATCACATGATTCTGATAATTGCAAAGATTCGATTGCAAAATTTACCTATAACAAAAAATGATTCATATTGAATTACTCTCAAAAATTGTTTTAATGTTTTTAATATAAAAATTAAAGACAAAGAAAAAGATCGCAAAAAAGGAAGAAAATATTTTATGACTAACTTTAATGTCAAGTAATTTTTCCTGAGCTGTTTGACGAAGTTCATTTACATCACCAACTGCTAGTGATATCTGAAATTATCACTAAATTATATTCATCCAGTGATAATAATGAATTTAATTAAAAATATATCATTACTGACCATTAAATTCATTAGCAGTATGACTGTACTTATTTCAAATGCTAATAGAAGCAAATTTGGTATCCATTCTTTACGTTCTAACACATTGTCCGCATCCACTTCACCTTTAATTTAAATAATTAATTCTTATTCTTTTTTTAAGTTGAAAATTCATTTAAATCAGATATAATTTAAGAGATCAATGATCATTGCATATTTTTATTCTTAACTCTAATAAGACAAAAACTGCTGAAATTATAAAGTAAACAAGTTGTGATTTTCAGGCTTTTTTTTGCTTTGGTTTTTTGAAGGAGAAGAAAAGGTAAAAAAAGTAGGATAAAGGTAAAATAACCGATCATCATAGCTGAAGTTTTTGTGATCGCTTGCAGTATCATTAGCAGTTTCTGGGATACTGTAGCATTTTGTAAAAACTAAAAGTAATGACAGTTTGATTTATCGATTAACATTTATTTTAATTGTTCGAATATTATGGCAATATGAATTTGTTTTTAAAAACAGTGTTATGTGAAATTTTTAAAATGCAAAATGGTATTAGCCCTTAGATTGTAATATATTATCACTGTTGCTATCATCACCATTGTTCATGCTACTGGCGCTTAGAGATTGTTAATAACAGAATATACCATTTCTGTAGCTTCCCAGGGTTCTTGACCACTATTCCGCATAACCAGATGAAAAGCGAATGCAAATGCGAGAAGCGTTGGTATCCATATTATAGCAATCTGTAATACACTTCATCATTATTATCACTATTGTTATCACCACCATATTTATCAATATCATTAATACGCAATGATTATCACTCCTTTACAATTGTTATTGATGCTATATGAAAAAAATTCTTTCAATATATTTCCGATACATGTTGAAAGATGTTAATAATGCTAAAATTTAATTTAGTAATTTTAATATTTTATTAATAAACGAAGAATGATATAATAGTGAAAATGAATTGATTCGAATTAAAGAATTTAATTTTAATGGCTAATTCATAGTTGAATAAAATTTAATTTTTCTATTGATTGATTCATAGAGAATCTGATTGCAACATATACAGCAATCTGATTGCAACTCTCATTTATCCGATTTATAAATTTTATCGCCGGAACGATTATCCGAAAATTATAAGAATGAATTGAAATTATTTCATTAAAAAGAATGAATGGATAATAAAAAGTTGGACAAAAGAATGGAAGAAAAGCGGAAAATTAAATGAGAAAAAGAACGAATTACACTAAAATATTAATTTATATTCTTTTGTTCGATTCTCTTTGATCTAAAATTTGAATTTTCATTGTTTGTCGTAGAAAAAATCAATACTATCTGTTTTAATCCTCCCGCTCTCATCCCGCTTTCCCGTTATGTTATCATCCTCTATTGTTTTTATTTAATGATAATATTGTCGCAGAAGTGAAGTGTATTTACATATTCAAAATTTTTAAGTTTAAATTTCAACATTTAAAAAATAAAATGTTAAGTTCAAAATACAAAAGGGAGAACAAAAAAGAAACAGCAGAGAATTAAATGTATTAAAATATATTACTAAACATTATTTGATAAATTTATATCGAAAGAAATAAGAAAGATGAAAGGATAAATAAATTAATGAAAATGAAAAATTACCTGAGAGAATGAATAAAGGATACGTGAAAGCATAAGGATATAAATACCGTACGGTGATTTTCGTAGAATATACAGGAAGTTAACCCATGCCGAAATGATAGCAATGATTGGTAATAACCAGGTGATGAAATGCTATAAGTGAAACAATTAAATAAGACTTATTAATGATAGCATATCACACTAATCGTAGGCCTTAATGCATTTTTCATTTACCACTTTTTAGTGCAAAATCAAAGAGTTACATAAATACTATTTATGTAATATAATATTTGATAATATTTACTAAATTTTTAATAATAGAATAATAGTATTTAATAATACTTCAAATTCGAGCTATTTGCTGATTAATTATAAGCAATATTTAACTATCGGAAGTATTTAACCATCTGGAAATAATTGATATGATTTATCAGTTTTATATTGATTAAAACTGTACGCTTCATTTTGTGATCCAATTTGGTTTATTTTGTAATAAAGTGTTATCAAATGAAAACAAACAATGTTATTTAAGTTTATTGAACAGTTTATTAGCTGTAGTTGTAAGAAAAGGCCTTTTTTATAAGGCATAACAGAAATGAATTTATTTATTACATTCAAATTGATAATTTAAAAAATTTGAAATTTTTGGAAGGATTAATTCCTTTAATCTAATTTTTCTATGAAATTGTCAAAAGCTTATTAAAATCTCAAAATTTAAAAATTTAATTTCTAGTAATTCTAAAATTTACAAGAAAAAAATGACCTTTAAATCAGAATTGTAATCGTTATAGGAAAATAACAGTGGCGTCCATATGAATAGAAAAGTAGCGATATATGTTATCACATTAAAGGAATATGATAAAATGAACCATTTACTAATTTTACCTGCTTGCAATTTTATAGCACATTTTACTACCTGTAAAGTGATTGTATAACATGAAAGGAAAGTTTTCAGATGATAATTTCAATTTTCGAATAATAATTTTATCTCAGATGATTTCTCTTTTATGCTAATCAAATCAATAAAAATCTATCCATAATTATTTCCATCATTTTACAGTGACAGATGCTGGCTACCACCATTCCTTATTTAAAATATCAAAAAGTGAGTTTTCTTTTTTAGGACTGATATCTTTATAAATTTCGAAATCACATACAATTAGAAATGTGGAAATTAAATAAAGCCTAAGGTTATTTGGCTAATTTATTTCTGATTCATTGATATAATCAATAAAAATAAATGATAAGAAGAAACTTTCCACACTCTATTTTTTGTTATTTTCAAACTTTGTTTACTTCAAAAAGGATTGCATCAAAAAGTTTAGCAAAAATAATTAATGAAATATTGTAAAACAAACCAAATAAAACCCAAAAATGATTAGGAATAACGTTGATAGAATATCTTGCACACTATTTTTACCAAAAATATAACTTGAGAGTAATAGTAGAAATACCAAATATGATATAATATGTGCAACATAGAGATAAGCTTGGGAAAGAAGTATTTCATTGATGAAATTGAGTACCATTGGATGTCGAATTACATTCCATCGACGATTATCTCTCTTAAATTCTTTTTTATTTCAACTAAATTTATTAATTTTTTAATTAATCAAAAAAAAATTGAGCCGATCATTTGCATTATTTATCGAAAACATTTTTGATTCATATTTATTTCAATTAATTAATTCATTTATTACCAAATATTTCAGTTCGTGCCAACTTATTATCTCTTCTCCTTTCTCTGAACCATCTATAATAAATCATTAATTAATCTTTAGATTCATCTTTTTTTTAAAAAAGAAATCTATGATTTTGTTGGAAGTATCGAAGTCTAATTTAAAATTAATAAGTAGTAATAATAATTATTATTATTATTATCAAAGCAATTTGCATATTATTGTGAAAATCTATTTTAAATAAATATTCCCATTATATTTTATATTTTAATAACACTTAAGGTTTTGTTTTTTTTTAATTGATTTAATTTTAATTTTTATCATATTGCTGGTAGTGCATTTTAACATTTACTGCTTTCATACAATGATATCTATTTAGGTAGAAGGTGAATTCACAATTATTAGATTTAAGCTTACCGTATCGAAAGAAGTAAACAATTCGATCATCAGATTGTATCCTTCGTGTACGACTACTGTAGAATTCTCTACTACATCTATAATACATATAACATTATCTATTTTTTTTCCCAAATATAACATATTTCTTTTTCTGAAATTATTGAGAATTCATTTCAGTGCCATTTATATTAATTAATTTTAAGTTTTAGACTTACTTCTCTTTAAGAATTTACTATCAATTTCAATATTATTTCATTACTAACAAACTAACATCGAAGATATCACGATTGATAGCTTTATCGATTAAATTATTGTTTTTGTTTACATTTTAGAAAAGTGCATTGATCGTTTTTTGATACTATTACTTATAATCACTTATAATCATTAGATATCAATATAATTAATTGCATTTATCATTCATCGATATTTTTTATCAACAAATAGTTCACCACGGATTATTTCTAGAAGGATAAAAATATCCCAGTCTCTACAATATCACTCATTAATACTTTCATATTAGCTTGTCATTTAATTGTTATCATAAGAACTGGGATAATCCTATGTTTAAGATAAATTTCTTTTTAAATATAAATTTTCTTGAAATATGCAATTTAGTTTTTACAAATTATAAGAGTCATATATTTACGCATGTGAGCTTATGTGAAAATAAAGCTTTACCTACCAAAAAATCAGAGAAGTATAAATCAGGTTACCAATCAGGTTACGGATAATATTCTTAGATTACATTAGTAAAATCAATTCATTCCCCGCTATCTTTTTCCCTAAATAAATACTTAAAAACAAACGGATTTAGTGTTTCATCGTTGCCCGCCATTAATCTCGTAAGTTCGGGAATATTTACTGTCGATTGTCCCATCCAATCCACATAAGCTTAATTAGGCTTATTCAAGCATTTCGTTGATACTTCGCTTTATTATTCATCCTGATTTCCAATTCTAAATTAGCCAGAATGGACAGTATGAAAGGGCAGGAAAGAACATAATCGTAATTTTGCAACAGGAAGATAAAATACGATATTAGCAAGCAAAAATTTTATCAGCTTCAGGAGATGAGTTAAAAGCCAAAGGGCCAAATGTCAAAGTTTCTGATCGCATGATCTATAATCAATAGCCCACGTGACATGACTTGTTTACGAAAAAAGAATGTACACATTTAATCGGTTAATAGTTCCTGATTAAATGGATAGTTAATCAATGAATATAGAAATGATTAATGATTTAGCAATAAAAGTTGAAGAGTTGAATTGATGTGAAAAATCGTTTTGAAAGTAACTGAAAGAAGAGAAATGGGAAAGAGAGAGAGGAAGGGATAGATAGGTCTGATTACGACAACTGATAAAATAAGCTGAATGAGACGCTTTAAACTATGTATTCATAAAAGAGTGGAATGTTTGTTTATAACTGTTAGATAACAAATTTAACCTAAAAATTACAGAAATATTAGTTAAGCAAAATAAACATTTAAATAGGGTTGAACTGAAAGATTATTATGGAATTAGCAGAAGAGGAAATGTTATGATAGTTGTTGAAAATTGTTGTTGAAAATTTAACAATAAGTGATGAATTAATGAACCATCAAATTAAATCTTTTAATTTTACTATTAAAGCATAAATTGTATCGAAAGAATAGAGCCAAAATTTTAATTTCAAAGAGTTTTTTTGAAAAAAGATGCCACTAACAACCTGATTTACTATTAAGTGATAAGTAATCATAATCGTAATACATGATAACTAATTATAGTTTAATTATTTCAATTGTCTTAAAGTATTGTAGTTAATTAATAGTTATTTAATGGTTGATTGCATATCATACTGTCACTTATGAAACTTTGTAGAATTTGTTAGCAAATTGTAGAATGCATTTTTGTAGAAAAAAGTTATGCTTCAATAGTTAAATTAATTCGCCAGTTCATTTATTCATTGATTGCATTGTTGTAATGAAAATGAAAAGCTATAATGCGATAGATTGAATTATGTTATACGAATAATATATCCAAAAAACAAGCCTGTGGATATAATTTAAGCCTATGGAAATTACGACATGCGAGTAATATTCAAATATCAATTATCAGTCAAATATCAGTTAAAATTAGCTTATAATATCAAATCAACGAGTAGTTTACGTTTAATTATCATACAGAGATAACCATAATGAATAGAATTATTTTCCAACCAAATGCATCTTTTAGACTTTAACAAATAGTTGAATGATTTTATATCTGATATCAGGAATGATTTTTTAACCGATTAACAAGTGATCAAATAACGATAAAATTCAGTTATTCTGTTAGTATAGATTGTAAGTTAATGCAATCATTCATGAATATGATTGAGTAACATGACAAATTCCAGGAAGACATCATTTGTAAACTATCGATCTATAATTTGACCTTTGACATTTTCACTTTCGTTTAACATTTTTACAAACAATTAGCTAATCAATCGTTTCAGTACATTTCATATGCTATTTAAAAATTACATTTTAGATATTTTATGGACTACCATGTTATCTTTCCATTTTGTAAAAGAAAAAAGTGTTAATTTTGAATTCAATTATTAACATCAGAATTATAATACTAAAAAAGATAATGACATCATTGAAAGAAAATTTAAAAAAACAAAGAAGGTATATATGTTAGCATAGAAGCTAACACCTATCATGCTTATTATTTTCATACCTATCCATCCATCCAATCATTTCTCTCAAATTCGATCAATACGTGTCAACATAATAACACATAATGATTGGATAATTTCGTAATGTTTATCTTTTGCAATTCACAAATGTTTTTTCATAAAATGAAATATCTGAAATGAAATGATAAAAAGTAAATTAAAACAAAAGTAAAATATTTTCTTTGCTTTTAAAAGAGTTTCTTTTTAAGATATATTGAATAATAATAATCTTTCCTTCGTCTTCTAACCAACCGAAAAACAACAAAATCGATGTTGAAATGGAAAAAAAGAATTTGTTGAGAATTAATTTTAATGTGAGAGAAGAAGGCAAAGAAAGGATTAAACTATTCCTCTTACTTTAATGATCACATTTAAAAGAAATTTGTTCAATCAAATGTTCCAATCCACAAATCAAAATGATATATCATTAAATGATCAATCTATTGATTTGCATTTTATAAGCGTTAAGATGATAAATTATTTCATTAAATATTTAATATGAAATCAAATCATTATTGATTATCCTTATCACTTCTTTATCATCTTTCTAAATATCTTTTTCAAATATTGAAAAAGTTTTAATTTTATTGATATTTTAAGCTTTATATTATATTTCCATTGTCAATAATTTACACTAATAGCATCCAAATGTATATTTGTAACAAGAAATATTGTAGTAAACATTTGCGTTCTTCCACTGTCCATCTATCCATAAAGCTCTTGCTCTCAGATGTCCACTTTGACCTTATTCAAATAATGAAAGAGTTAGTGATTCCATAATTTTGATAATTCTTTTTAAATGAACGAAATAAAGTTTTTTATGCTATAACAGATGTTTCTAGAAACGAAAACAAAATGAGTCTTTCATCGTATTACAACGGCGGATATTAAATTTAATGGATCTATCGAAATCAAATGGAAGAAAATAATTTCAAGAATAAATTTTCTATGCTATGTGATATGACTAGAATAGACGTAATTAGATTATAAATGACCACTAATTGAGGGACATTTCTGAAGTTTTATATGATACGATAGGATTGATGACAAACATTCAACTAAATAGTTGCTGAAATGGAATAAAATAACTATGAAAATACGATAAGATAGATTTTGTTTGAATTAAAAAAATGTTCCTATTTTGATAAAATAGAAATGATCATCGTTCTCAATTATCGATATTATCCACAATTAACTATGATCATTTAAATCACAAAAACTAAAATGAATAAACGAATCAACATTTTCAGTATCTTTCATTATTTCTCTAATGTTTGGCAAGAAAAGAAAGAAGCCAAAAAATATTTCTGTTAAATTTTGATTGATTTCTTTATTTCAATGAATAAGCTTCAAATGTAATTTGTTGTTGAAAGCATCGAAAAATACTATCACTATTACTGAAAAGATCTAAATTTTAATAAAATACTCATTTTAATAGAAAATGATGAAATGGTACTAAAATGGTACTTTATTTGAGATATCAGGTTGCTATCGCCATTCCCTTATCTGCCCACTCGCAATTTTCAATTTCTTGCGTGTTATTCACTTTTTTTGACTCAATATAATGAAAGTATAAAAATTTCCCTGAAACAATAACTCGTTAAATTTATTGATTGGTTTTGTTTTGTTTTGGAAAGGAAAAGAAAAACGTTTGAACCTTTCATTAATCTTTTTCAAGTTATTTAAATATCAAAATCAATATTTTGTTATTAGCATATTTAATTGTATATCTAAAAATCTACTTTGACAGTTTTAAAATTTAATCATTAAATTATTTCAGTTTAATTCAAATAAGTTAGCATTTGTTGAGATTTGAAAGAAAGCATTTCGGTAAAATAAAAACGAATGAAAATATTGCTAACATCTAGTTGAAAACTTCACTAACTGTATTATTTTATAGAATGATTGTTAAGAGTTACAAAAAAGAAATGTGCAGCTGGCTGGCACTTTAGCAGTCTGTTATTTATTGCTCAAATTTTAATAAAACAATGATAACAACAACAACAACAACGTTTCCATTTTTACAATAATATTGTAAAATAATGAAAAAAAAGTTTTGAACAGATAGCATTTCTTAGATATAACATTAAATGATTTTATTAATGTATTCAAATTACACTTATGAAAATTTCATCGATAAGCATATTTTTATTGATATAGAATTTCAAGAGCTTTCATATCATATCATATCATATAACATCATATCACTTCTTATTGAATACATCAAAGATTATAATTATTTCTATCTCTCCAATTAGGCTATTCCATTTAAATAGAATTAGAATTAAGTATAGATAAGCTTAAATTATTATTAATACAAGTCTGATATACTAATGTTTTGTTGAATGAAGGAAATATTCTTATAACTTTAATTATAATAATTGCAAAAATTATAAAATGCTATATTTTTTTAAAGGTTGTCACGAAACATGCAAATTTTCCCAAAGATAACAAACACTCAGCAAAAAATTTCTATGAACAATTTCCATAAACAATCGTAATAATAAGTAATAATCGTTTAGGATGTAATTATCATTTCGGATAAGTGATAATTTTTTTTCCTGAAAATTTCTGATGTTATGCGGAATAATTATTACTTTGTATGATTAAGAAAAAGTGGGAAAAAATATAGACCAAGTATAGACTCTATGAAATAAGTAAACAACTACTGAATTATTTATTCATCACACTCTTTCCTATCTTTTCAATTTGACAAACTTTAACATACCCAATTTTAATGCCACCAATGTTTACCCAATAATAAAATGACTACTGTAGGACTGGTTTTTTTTGTATATGTGCGCGTATCTTTTAACAAATTTTTACATAATTTCATAAATTTTTATGTTATTTCTACATGTTATATATGTTTTTGGTATGATCGAGTAATTGTTTGATATTATGTGATATGATATGATATGATATGATATAATCTTGAGAGTAATCTGTAAATTTTAATATCTCATTGTTACTGATAAATCAATTAGGAAATTTCAAAAGAAATTGTTTAGTATCAAATAAAGTCAAAATAATCAATACAAGCCTATAAGAGTAAAAAATGAGAGTTGTGAAATGATTCGAGTAATAAACTTTCTTGAAAGTAATTTTAAATTTTAAAATCTTATTGTTAACATCTTACTGATATTGATAAATTATTTAGAAACTTCAAAAGAAATTGTTTAGTGCCGTATAACGATAAAATAATCAATATAAGTTTATAAGAGTTGCCAAAGGTATATCAATACATGATATACCTATATGATATACCTTCTAAAACATATCCATTTATATTATGAACATTATTATGCCATTAGACAATTTTATCTAATGTTGCTTAACTTCTTCATATTTTTTCCCTCAATTTTCTATTTTTCTAAAATTCCTAAATTTTCGTAAATTTATTTTGTTAAAATTTTTGGTTGGAAAATATTTCGGAAGCTTAAAGATTAATTGTAAATTTCTTCGATAGTCTTTTTTTTTAGTTAAGCAATGTGTAAATCCGGTCAAGAACAATTGCATACTGATAAATCACTTCCGGATTCCATGGATTATACTAAAATGTAATCATTCAGGCAAAAAAAATGTACAGTAATCGAATAAACGGAAAAAGGAAATGATGAATTGATTGGTGTTGTAATGATAGGACGGACATATAGTGTATATCTATCTATCGATGTACCTATGGAAACGTTAAAAAATGATAGGGGAAATTGCGATAGATAGGAGTATTTCGTGTATAAAATTGTGTTCCAATTCATTTTTGTGTGCCTATGAATGTAATTAGAGGGAGAGAAAGGAGGAGCTAGGCTAAATTCAAGACAGGCCTACTATAGGCCTGAACTAGCCAATAAAACTCTATCCTGTAAGAATGGCCAAGGAAGATAGTGAAAAAAAAGGGACGAAAGATGTGAAATGGATTGAAGCACTTCGGAAAATCGTTTAAGTCATTGCTAGCATATCCCAACCATCACTTCAAAGCAATTACATTTTGAAATTCACTTCTTATGCTTAGCAATCCTATGACAAATTACATAGAAGTGTGAGCGTGGAAAAATTTTTTCAGAATTTATCTTATAAGAATTAATAACTTCTTGTAGATAATTGATTACAGGAATTATTCAAGTAACAATAATCATTCCTGCTTGATTGTAAAATTTATCCTACAATGTGCTATGATATTATGATATTACAGGTGAAAGAGGAAAGGACATCTTACATATTCTCTTCTTAGTCAATTCATTAACTAACTAATTAATTATTTTGTTATAATTAAAAAGTGAATTATCAAGGGTGGTTGGTAAATGAGGGAACTCTTTTCTCCTCCTTCTCCTCTTCTTCTTATACTTCAAACTTTTCTTTCTTCAACTCTCTCTTAATGACATCTATATGAAAAAAGGTTAAGTGTTATGCAAAGGAAAGAAATAAACAAAATAAATCAATAAATGGGCAAATTAAAGGGTCAAAACTAAGCTATTCAATCGTAACAAACAAACTAAAAATCTTATTACATCCATTTGAAGTCATATAATTTCTTAAATTGAACAATTAAATTGGTTGAAAAAAGACAATTTGCCAAAGATGAAAAATTACTTCTTCGATAATATTGACATTTGGCATTTTAAAACAAATTTTAGGGCAAATACAAACTGAGAAAAACTTTATGAAATTTGAAATATTTAAATTGAAATGAAAAATTATTAGTGAACAAAGAATATAAGAAATATGATATTATCAGTAGAAATATAATAAACGATGATAAGATTAACATTTGAATGAATGATTCTATCGACAATCTATGGGTATTTTTTTTAAATGAGACTAAATATTAGGTGCATGCAATGCTTCCTACACGTAAATGACGTATTATTAGCAGTTTTTATACACGTAACGACGTATTATTAACATTTTTTATATATTGAAAATGATGTATAATTAATGGCTTTTATTTTTAGATATAAGCGGATAATTTAATTTTAATTATATCTATTTAACACAGATAATTTTTTTCATTAAAACATAAGCGTAATTATTTATGTTTTATGCGCATTTTTCCTGTCACCCAACTTATTTCATTTCTTGATCAATCAGTAATGAAAAAAAATCACGTAAACGAAGTATGATGTTAGCTGTGTTTGATAACTATCGAAAAGAGAAATTAATTGATTATACAATCTCTCTGGTAAATATTCAACCAGTAGAGAAACGCTTTCAGCAAGAATGACAGATATAAATAGGATAAATATATGAGTTTTTTTCCCACGGGAATATCACTTTGAGAGTTAAATTTGTGATGCAAATAAATGATTCAATGCTGCTACTATAGCAATATATGTATTAAATTTCTTAATATTTCAATTCATTATAAAGCGCCTCTTTTGATCACAATTTTAGATTAATTATTATTGATGAATATACAACGATACACTAATTTATTTTGATAAATAATTTTTAAATGACTCATACACTTTTTTATTTCTTCGTTGATTTAAATAGGAGAGAGTAAAGATTTCGATATATGCATGCAAATTTAATTGACTTAACAAAATCAGAGCAATGACTGTATCACGTCAGGTAAAATGAATTTTCACGTCAGGTAGTATGCTGCATAAAAAAGCATTTGTAAAATTCATTTAATAATAAATGCAAAAATAAGCTCCTTCTCTCTCTCTCTCTCTCTTTCTGGTGCTGTTGTAATAACAGAAATTATGTTTTATTGAATTGATTGAGACGAAATGACGCTTCTGCAACGTTTCGTTATACGTTATCTGCCGTACCACATAAAATGCTTGATGAATTTACGTTAAAGAAGTACGGTATGGCGTAAACAGTAACTGAAAGTAATTTTTTTTGACTATTTTTTGATATCTTATTTTGTTGTTTATTATCAAACTACTTTTCTTTGTTATGCTTAGAAGTGAGAAAAATTGGAGAGATGACAGGCTTAAATTCTCATAGGGAATAGGATGGGAACGGGTGGTAACAATCGCGAAGGTAAGCAATTAATGAGCGTATTTGTCGTGGGAAAATAGTCACTTTCTGAAAGGAAAATGAAATAAATTGATCGATATTGGGGATGTTGCAGCTATTTAATACGTTTGGAGATTTGAGTGCATCGATACAGGGACAATACATCTATGCACAGCCTCCATTCAAAAGCGATGATCAACCCGTACTCTAATATTATCAGGTAAAGCTTAGATGCCGATATGTTAATTAAAAATGCTTTACGAAGGAAATATGCAGGAAACGGTAAAGTCTTAGAATGATAAAGATAACAATATGTTAACAAAATATTTATGAATTAAATATGTGAGGAATGAAAAAGAAAGAGATATGGTAGGTATATTGAAAAAAACAAACAAATTAAATATTTGAAATTTACTTACTTCTCTGTGTTAGAGATAAAAATGGAAATGTTTCAGTGTTAGTTAAAATGAAGTAATTCTAAAATAATCTCTGATAAAAGTGAAATCATTCAATTCTTTTAATGTAACAAAGAAATCTTCATAATTGAAAGGAATTCATAAGAAGAAGAAAGGCAATATCATTTAGATTTGAATAAATAAATGTTAAAAGTTAATGTGTAAAATTGTCAAATTTGAATAATAATAATTTTGAATATTTCAAAATTTAACAACATTTTATCAGAATTCGGATCAGAACTCGGCAAATTACTCTTGATCAATTATCCGATAATAAAAGGATATTGATAATGATAATTGATAATTTGAAGGTTATTATCGGACTGACTAAAGAAATGTATTGATAACCTAAATATCACCAAGTTGCAATATTATTTAGGATAAGCTTGATTTCAAAATAACAACAAAATGATATTTTTAACAAATCGAAAAATCTATACATCCTATCTATGTGTAAAGAAATAAATAGAATATCATTTATCTTTCAAAAAGTAGCAATTTAGGGGAAATATTCATTATTAGTAGATTAAATAAATTTTTATAGGAATAAATGATAAGTAATCAATGTTAACAAGTTGATAGATGTACATGATAGGTATGTAAATAAGAGTGATAATAGATAATGATGTTTGATTGGTGTTTATTGGTATGGGGAATGTACAATAGTAGCGATATTAACCCGTTCGTACACGTGCTATTGTTATTAAATGAATGTCAAACATACACAAAACTTTTCCGTACTCCAACCATTTCCTGTCTTTCCCTATCCGACAATTATGGTTCATCAAATTCAGACAACAATCAATTTTATTGTTTGTTAATGGCAATCATAAATGGCAACCGTGAATAGTAATGGTACTATTTGATTCAAATTTTCTATTGGCTATTTAAAAATGTAAAAACCGGAAGCTGATCAAACAGATATATCAATCATTCACTATTCCATCCAAATTTACCTCTTCTTGCTCAATTTTTGTTCTTTGTGCTTTCCAATTTCGAATTACCTTCTACATACAATAGTAAAATTATTAGAATTTAACAATATGCAGAAAAATTAAAGCGTCTGATGAAAACACTTCAATAAATATTTTGTTAGCAATATGAATAAACTATATGAGTTTTTTTTCAAATGTATAAATTCAAAAATAAATTTGCTAGTTATAAAATTGGGCTTCATCCTATTTTTCATTCTTAATTTCTACTACAAAACTTCCTCACTTTATGTTATCATCACTGTTAACAAAATATTTTGAAAAAAAAATTGCAAAAGCAGGTGCAAAGAAAATGCAACTATCACATGAGGTTAACATAATTATCCAGAGTGTGTGATGAGCTAAATTTGATTGACAATTATACTGGAAGTTATCCAACCCTACATCCAAGTCTCTTTCTATTACAAATTATTCGCTTTTCCAGTACAGATTGGAAAAGCGAATGATTCGTAAAAAAAGTGTAATCGCCAATGTGATGTGTCAAAAAATGTTATCATTATCAAAATTGATAATAAATGGAGACGAATAGAAAAGCGATGAATGTACTGAAAAGTGTCATGTGCAGCAAGAAAAATATTCCTAAAAAATTTCAACAAGTCTATTTTTCGCCGCCTCCTATTCCTGCCATTTTTTTTTTGATTAGATTAAAATACAAACAAAAATATTGATATTGCGCAAAATGCAAACAAAAATACTGATATTATGATTTATTTGAAAAGATTAAATTTGATAATAACAAAATAATTATTTCTCTTCGTCAGATTCGTTCTCCAATACGCTCTTACCCAGTGGTTTGATTATTCTACCCGCCTGAAATAAAAATGAAATATCACAATATATATACATCAAAAGTAAAGAACAATAAATAAGAATAAACGTACTTTTGTTACAATCTGTGGTCGAATAAGCTTCATATGAACTCGTTGTGGATTCCATTCCTTTCCTAATGGCTGCCGCACTACAGTTTCATAATCCTCAACGGTTGTATAAGGGAATGGTATCTGAAAAAGTATCATCCAATTACTAATTATAAAAATCCAATAACTACATTATTATCAATTGTAGGTATTTGGTCAACATGAAAACGTTAATGTCCTTAAGTGTTAAACTTTAGTGTTGTCAAGTATTAAACGTCAGTGTTGAACAGCCGGATTATTTTTACTGCTCTATGTGATTATATTCATTACAAAAAGATTAAGTACAGAAAATTTAAAATTTTTAATTTATTTATGTAATAATATTAGACTCCTACTCTTTTTTCTGCGGTGAGATTTTTTATCATAACTATTACTTTTTTTTTATCATAATTACTTTAACTTAAAGAGATGACAACTGTAAACCTAAATATCGTTACAGTTGAAAAGTCAACGCAAAATCATTCCTGGAAATTATGAATATTCTTCACATTAACCGTGAAAAAAATGTTCTCACTGATTTCAGCTGAATTTTCTCAATAGATGGATCCACTGCTTCCGATATAATCAAACCTGTTTTCCCAGCATCTTTTCTCTTTTTTCTCGGCGCTTTGATTACAAATCTAAAATTTGCTTTTCTATACTTGTTTAGTTATTAAGTATAACATGCTGTGGTATCGACAAAAGAAATAAAAATAAACGCAATATTTTGGCAGCCAAAAAGAAATTTGTAGGAATCTCACCTGTTCTTTTTCCTGTTGGTTATCCCTGGTCCGGTCCACGAACCCCATCCTTGAAGTGTTAGATCGATATCTTTTGGATTTTCTGCCGCTTCTGCAGCTTCTTTTTCAGCTTCGAAATCACCAATAACATCGACATCTTCGAACGCCTTGGCTATGATTTCCTCTTGATCCTCTACTTGCTCTATAAACAATGTTTCGTGAGTGCTCTGATCTCCAAATACTCCATTATGATTGTCGATGCTCTTCGCTGAGCACTAACAACCGCAAAAGCATTGAAAATTAATAAAAACAATAAAGCAACCAAAAGCGAAAGACTCACGATTAGTGTCTTCCAAAACCTCAACAAAATTCGCCGAGACCTGTGGCAGTGCCATCGTTTCAATCTGTAGAAAATGCCTTGGATCCAAAGAAATATCTGTGACTGTTTCTTCTGTTTTTGCAGCAATTTCTTTTTCTTCTGCAAATACAGTAAGCAGACTCTTCAATGAAAATTAATTTGCAGCATAAATATAATCAAGAAAAACTTACTTTGTCTGGGGATCACTGCAGATTCGGCGGCAGACGGCATAAGATCCCGACTACGCTTATTTTTTTCGTCGTCTAATTTCAGAAGTTCACATTTCTAAAATATGTAATGCTCAGTTGTTTATCACTAAACTCATACTATTTGCAGTTTCAACAAATCCAAGAAATATGCACTAGCATGTCTAGAAAAGCATATGATAATAGAAAAATTCATTCTAATTGTAATGACAGAAAATTATGCATAGCACTTTCATAAACAAGCACACAGGAAAGGGATTATATGAACATACTTTTAAGGCATAATCAGTGAGTTCCTTCTCAGCTTTGTCGAACAACTGATCGATATCCACGTCTTTTAAAACATCTTTACTTTTTTTCTGCAAATTATCATGACAATTCTCTTTCCTTTGTAATATATTCACCCCTTTTCGTTAAAAGTACATATAAATAATACACATCAAAATTTAATTTCGGAAAATTCAAAATTGTTCATCTTAAGTCTACACTCTTACAAAGCAAAATAACGATAAACGCACTCTGTTCTTCATTTTTTTACAACTTTTTTTCTCTTTCAAAATTTTGCGGTCTTTTTTCGACTGTTCATCAGCTTTCTTTTCAGCACAATCCTGTCCAGAGTTTCCTGAAATACTTCGCTGATGTTGCATTTTGTTCGGCTGCTCTTCACTGCTTACCGCTTCTTTTGGACCCCACTTCATTTCTACTTTTTCATTCCGAACGCTCGACTCATTAGCTGCATCAGGATCCTCAAATACTTACATGATTTGAATTCGAATTATAGATATTTAGTACATTACAAACTCATAAAAATAAATTTCAATTAACGACATACCAATTCATGCCTTCGGTGAGATATGAATTTAATATCAGTGGCCCGCAATGCGCTTTTTCTAAGAGTCTCACGTTCTTGTTCTCTCATTTCATAAAGCTTCCTCTTCAGCTTTGGCACGGCGGACATTTTATCATGTTCTTCTCTCTCCAATATTTCAGCTGCTTTCTGCAATTCAGAATAGCGAAAGATCTACTCGTTCTTTCTTAAAATATCACCTAGACATATTGAGAAATAACGTCTTACTTCAAGCATTTTGGCGCTGGTCAGTTTTACTGCATTTGTACTTTCTGTTTCAGAATCGCAATCCGAATCTTTTTCAAGGCCATGTTTTTCGACCAGTTCTCTTCCCAGTCTTATTTGCTCCTCGTATACTTTTTTGAAATTCTTATTTTTACTCGCGTACCTTGACAACTGTTGGACACCTTTTCCACTGCGATGCTTTAAGGTCGCTCGTTCCTGTAACATTGAACATTCTTCACTTATTTGCTATGAATTTTTATCCCTCTTCATAGCTCGTAGTCATCGCTTTAAGGTAAATGAGGTTATGGTACCAGGATGCGCTGCCGATCAATTTCTTCGAGTTTCTCTTTGGCAGCCTCCGGATTCTTCACCATCATTTCTTCAAATTCTTTAATCATCTGCTTTCTCTTCTGACGTTTCATATGTCGATGATATCTGTAATGAGTCAAGTCACAAACTTTTAATACTAAAATTTTTTTCAACATTTTAAAAATCCCAAGAATGTTACTAACGAACGACAAAGAGAAAGGGGAAATTGCAGATACAGAGTGTATAAGTATTTATAGCTAAACTAACGATTTGCTTTTTATTTTAGCTTGTCGCTTTAGTTTTGCTTCTCGATAACCCACTAGAGCTCGCATTTTCTTCAACTGAACCCACTTTGCTCTTGCCTGGAAGAAAAAAATCAAGGAAATGTGCAAGATACAAATGAATGTATATTTAAATGTCTACTAGAAAAAATCATTTATTGCTGTAATAGTTGGCTCGAAGGATGAAATCTAATAACCTCTTTCAGACTCATTGCCCTTATTAATTCTAACTCAGCTTCCGTATATTCCTCGCCATCACGAAGATTATTGTTTGATGTTTTCAATAGCTTGGCTAATTCTACTTCCATCGATGTCCTTGGCTGCAATTAACTTCATATATGCAAACACAGAAATTATTCTTAAATCCTTGCCAGTAAAGAGAACTTAAGTTGATAACTCTACACAAACAGGATATTTCAGCATTAACATTATTGGGTAGTTCTAAAAAATTATGGTATATATCGCATAATACATTTCAACATTTTTATGCTACACCAAAACACATTGGTAAAACGGTGAAATTTTCAACATACCTTGAAAAAGAGCACTAAATCTGACGCTGTCCGCTGGACTGGTGGGTCTTCAGTGAGTGGGAATACTAGCTGTTCAGCAAGCCGATTTTTTTTAACAATTGATGCCCATTCCTCCAAATCCTTCCTGCAATCATACTTCAAGTGTATGTTCCTAACTAAAGTTGCCACCTCTAACTTGAAATAACAAATGAAAACAACTCCGGAAATTTTTGCTTGTAGTACTTCAATTTTAAGCTGAATATCGATTCACATCTTATCATATGTAAATTTAAACGAATGTAAATAAAAATAATACCGGATATCACTGTATGCAATGGAACTTTCAATCCTCTCGCGAACCAGTCTATGAGATGGAGCTTGCAAAGTTCTCGGTTCATCCTTTCCCACTGTCTTCCCTTGCCTCTTCGTTACCAATTTCTTTTTCACGTCGTCAACATTTCTAAGATTTTAAAGCAAAATGGCTTGAGAAGTTTATCTGGACATATAACTCAACTTCCACTTACTTCAAGCTTACGATTTGTGTCTAATCTCAGTACCAGTTTCTACGACTGGAACATACACTATTCCAGTCCTTACAACAAAGCATTTTAACAACAATAAAGGAAATCAGCCTGAGAAACTAACTTTGTAGATCGTATCAAATCAACTAGTTCTTTAACTTGCACCTTCTTCGAACACTTTCTAATCAATGGCCCTTTTTTTGGATTATTGCCCAAGCTATTGATAGTGTTCAATAGCTTTGTGTGAGCTTCCTCATCAAAATCCGAATCCTCTGACATGGTACCGCTTTAGGCTACAATGAAAAATGAAGATCACGAAACCAAAAAAAATAAAAAGCAAAAATCTTGCTTTATACGGTAACCCTATTATATTATGTATCCCATTGATTTTACTTCATAAATAATACTATCAATAATATCACTGTGACTTTCGCTTTTCTAGAAATACGCTGAGATGAGATACGACACCATTATCATGCGAAATAATAGAACCAACAATTTATCAATTGCCAGATAAATTATTAAGTGCCGATTCACCATTTTCCCACACCATAATGTACAATGTGATAGAAATAAAGAAAAACAGTGACGAAGGAGAAAGACATGGCAGCTACCATAAAAACATTTTCTCTATTAAAATTCCCAAAAAGTAATTCAAAATTCTCACTTGCGGAGCGAAGATCGATAACAAGAAGTTATAAAAAAAATGCCACTAAACAATATAAAAATCAGATCAGTCAATTACAGATCGGTTACCATTTCAACGAACAATATAACAGATAAGTAATTGTATATCAGTCATCATGCCAATAAACAATGCAACAGATCAGATCAAACCACAAAAATAACCACATGTAATCTAGAATCTAGGATGTTAAAGTTCGCAACGATGATCTTGCTTAATAACTTCGACCGAACAGTGCGAAGAATTGCGGTTTTTCTGAACAATTTTTATTGATGCAATTAGTCGGAAGCGAAATATCGGGCTGAAATTTTATGAGGCTCATTATATAATTTCAGGAAGAAAAACAATAAGTAATACACATCGACTTTTTATAGATGTAAGCAAATATCACAAATAAAACCATTTTTTGGTTTTCTCCATTTCATAAAATTTTATAATCTCCGTCTCCTAGTAACAATTTTTAAGCTACCGTTCTCAAATAACTCCACTAACAATATGCATCAAACATAAGCAATTCTTGTAACTTAATTTCTTAAAAGTATTGTGAAAATCACCTGTTCAAATGGGATGCAGAGGGTTTTTGCTCCCATTGCGGGAACACGAGGATCATTTTCCTCTTCTTTCATGCTTTCTTTCTTGATTTCGTCTTCGCATTCAATGCGACCACAGAAAGGTGACAGCAGAATAAACTTTTGATCTAAGAGACCTCGGAAATCATCCCATTCCAGTACAATCTTCGTATGCGATTCGCGAACTTCCAATATTCTAGAAATATTACATACAAACTGAAAAATATTTTGTTCCATCGTTTATGAAACTAATTAGTCCAAAAAAGCTTGCCTGTTATACATGGCACAGTGAATTTCCTCCAGCATATCTCTGCATTGTGTAGCAAGACCATCGATGGGAATGATTCTTTTTTCGCCAGAATATCTAATAACACAAGTTACCTAAACAAAAAAATTACAAGCTGCAAGTTACAGTAAAAAGGAAATGGTAACTGATACCTGGCTGTTGGCCAAATCCCTGGGACCAATTTCGATTCTTACAGGAACACCTTTTAATTCCCAGTGATTGAATTTCCATCCAGGCGATATATGATCTCTTATATCAAGTTCAGCCCGTATACCTGCATCCATCAATACATCATTGATTTCTTTCCCTTTTTCAATCAGAACCGTTTTTTGTTCGTCCTTTGTTTGAGCAGTGATTCCTACGGGAACGACAATCATCTACAAAAGCTAGGAGTGCAATTCTAAGATTTTTAGATTTTCTTAGATTTTTAGACCAACAACAAAAGATCTTTCCATCGAAGGCCTATTCCTAAATTCTAAGACAAACCTGTATAGCAGCTACTTTGGGTGGAAGTACAAGACCATAATTATCACCGTGTATCATCACTAGAGCACCAATTGTTCTGGTCGATAAACCCCAGCTGTTCTGCCATGCATAGATCCTTCCGCCACCATTTGGATCTTCAAACGATATGTCAAACATTTTTGAGAAATTTTGTCCCAAGTGATGCGATGTAGCACCCTAAAATAAAACATGAACAGCTTTCACAAAACTTATGAAAAGATAAATGAAGACTGAGCAGTCTCCCAGATGACTCCTTTTATTTTTCGACTATTTTTATTTCCAATCAATTCAGAAAAAAAGCAAACAAGAACAATTGCTACTCATCGCAGACATCAAATAAAGAAATTGGATGAAAGTACGAGCCAGTAACCTGTATCCCACGTCCATTTATTGGTACATACGCCTCAACAGTAGTTGTAAATTCTCCGCCAGCAAATTTCTCTTTCTCGGTTTTCCGTCCTTTAATAACTGGTATAGCCAGTAAATCGGTGTATACTTGAGTGTATAAATCAAGGATTTTAAATACCTCATCTTCTGCTTCAGCTTTAAATTGGAATGCAGTATGACCTTCCTGCCATAAGAATTCACGAGTTCTTAAGAATGGTGTTGGGTGTTTAAATTCCCAGCGCTAAAATAATCAATATCCTTCTCCATGATGTATAAATAAAAAATGGAAATGACCTGAAAATAGCTTCAAAAAAAGCATCATAAACAATTTTTTGTCTCTTCTATAGTGTTTAATTATGAAACTTACGACAACATTGCACCATTGATTCAGCTTAATTGGAAGATCTCGATGAGACTGCACCCATTTCGCATAGCTGGGATATATCACTGTTTCGCTAGTAGGACGAATTGCAATCGGTTCAGATAAATCCGACTGCCCTGCTCGCGTTACCCATGCAACCTGCAATACAATATGTTGAGATAATATTCATACCTGAAAAAACCACATCTGTAGCAGATAAAAACTTTTAAATGATAACCTCAGGAGCAAAATCGCTTATGTGCGTTTTCTCTCTCTCCAAAGAGCTTTGAGAAACGAATAATGGAAAATAGCAGTTTTTGACACCTAGTTTCTTAATTTCTTCGTCGAACCATTCTTGAATGAATTCCCAAATAGCGTATGACCATGGCCGCAAAATATAACAGCCAGAAATGTCGTAATATTCTATCATTTCAGCTTTCGTTATAACCTAAAAATATAAATGTAAACTGGGAATTGACTTTCCAGAAAATCGATTTTTTTCTACACATTTCAATGTCATTAGCATCATAACATTTATTGACATGTTCATATTACCGGATGGGTTTTGAAGCTCTGGATCAATTCATTTCTCCTAACACCGATAAGAAAAAGACCAAAACATTCTCATGTTTCTAAAAAATGATTCTGTTTTATTCATGTTAAAAGGAATGACTTGGATCACCTTTTCAGGAACATAGGGGTAAATTATTTTAGATAAATAAGAAAAAAAATTTGATACCACTGCATTACTTTGAAATACAAACAAGGATTAAATGCTTGCCTATATTAACTGATATACGATAAGGAAAAAAAGAAACTAACCTCGACATACCACTCGCTATAATTCTCATCTTTCGATACTTCAATACCCAATTTAGTTTGCTTCCTCATATTTCCTCGACTCTTCACAGACGAAGTATTGCCTATCTACATATAAACAGTAAAACTACTGAAATTAAAACTACCAAATCCCATATCCGATGTACAAGTTTTTCTTCTTTAATCATACAATTATTTTACCTTGTCACCTATTTGTGATAAAATATACTTCGTTCTAGCGAATAATACTTACGGTCAAATAAATATATGCTTTCGAAAATTTTACTCCATTTATAAAATTTGCAAAATATACAACCTACATGAAAATCTGATAGGTCACTTCCAAGTTTCTGAACATTGTTTTGCTGCAAAGTAATTTCCATTTCCAGTGCGTCATCTTTATACTTCGATAATGCCATCACTTGTAGCTGTGAATAAAGCGATGTAGAAAAAAACACAACTATAACTCAAAATAAACCGATAAATCCACTCTTAACTGTGATGTAAAATATTCAATTTATCTTCCACACCTCTTTCCATTCAATTATTCTCAACCACTGCTATTATTCCCCTTTTATCTAATGATTTAAATGTCGTCATTTCGGGGAAAATCTCACCAATCTTCGTTCTTTCTCAACAAACACACCTTTCCCTCGTTCCTCAACCTCTTACTATTAGTGATTTCCCTTCACCCTCACTCGGCATAACATCCCCCGATATCCTCCCAGCACTCCGCCGAACCTTCCCGCACTACTAACCACTACTAACCCCGTGAATTCTGCGCATATAATCATCTCTTTCCATCACTACAAATAATCGCTTTGAGAGTTTGCCGACTTAGAAGAACGGAAAAATGCAACAATTCGATACAATGACTGATTACCCGACTGATACCCGGGATATCTTCTCGCATGTATTTTGGCTGGTGTGTGATTTTCCATGTAACATTTACAAGGCAATATATAATAACTATTTTATTACATTAAATTTACAAGGCAATATGTAATAACTATTTGAAAATGGTTTTACAGTTAACAGAGTTTCATAATGAAATGACTATATGTAATATTCCCGAAATACCTTGTCGTTTATAACACCTTATATACACGTATAAGATGTGACTTGTTGATAACAGGAGTTAGAAGTAGGAAATATTGAAGGATAAGGAGGGAATAGGAAAGGTTCGTCAATTTCGCCCTTTTGACAGTTCCCTGATTTCATATCTCAAACTATTGACTTGCTGGTCTTTGATCTCATTTTCATGTGGTTAGTGACTGTCCAATGTTTTGCTTTATTGGAATTATTTTGCATCATCAACAAGCAATGTGTATGGATGTGGTAGCGAACGCTTTTGCCGAGTGAAATCATTTTTCGTTTAGAAATTAAACGGTTTGGCAGGTTCAAGAGCATAACTGAATCTACGTTTATTGCTCATTCAGCAGAAAACGGATACCAATACCACTTTGCAGTAACGATATAAATCCATTCCGGAAAGGTGCATAACATTAGAATTTATAATGTTAGTTGTCAAAAGCCGAAATAACTTTACAATATTAAAATGTTTAAATAATCAATGTATTTCCATTTTTGTTGTTTATGTTATTGAAATCATATTTCTCAGTCAAATAATAGAATATCCCTTGCATATTTTCTTAAGGGATACCACCGCTAACCATTTATATCCAATGAGTCATGTATACTTACCATTAGTTTTATCTTTCAAATGACTAAACGATTGTTTGTATGCAATTAGTCTCTTGTATCATATGACTTTATAACCTTTTTTTGTACCGTTTGTTTTGTCTACAAGATGACCAGTTGATTATTTACTATAAACAGTGTTCAAAGACTACCGTCCAACTCGGAATGAACGTATTCCAGCGTAACTTACTACTCTGAAACGAAGCGATCTTATCATTTGAACCAATACTTCAACGAATAGTCCCAAATTATTCTCTCGTATTAGCGAGTAAAGAAGAATAACCAAATGATCACTCAATTCACTTTCTGATAATCGTATTATAATATCAAGAAGAATAAACTTTCTCCATCAAATTATTAAGCCTTCACTACTTACTATTCGACTGTGTTCGATCAAAACAAAATAAATATTCGTAATGCAATAACGTAATTCTTTTCAATAAGATTAATTTTCGTTATTGTGAAGTTGTCTATTTTGAGTGGAACTTAATTAAAGATCAATCTTACCTCCATCAAACAAATAATCATCGCTCGGTTTAATACTTATGCAATGTTATAAATGATAAAGTTGTAATTTGTATCGTAGAGATAATAGAACCGATAATATTGCTCTTGATATTAATATTTGAGTTAGAAATTTACTATTTCTAAAAGATATAAGTTTATTTTGTTGGTTGAAATTTATTAAATAAGCATTAAATATTCACAGATAGGTTCAATGAAATGTAAAAATAGAAAGAAAAATAAAGCTAAAGATGGGAAAAAGATAAAGATATTATACACATTCATAACGTACTCAGTAGAGTGGATGGATGATGGATTATCTAATGATGTGTAAATCTTTGCAGCGAGAAAATGAGCACATTTTAAGTTTGCATCTTTCATGGACAAATTAAGACAGGAAATATGATAAGTAGACGAAAGAGAGAGAAAGATAGAGAAAGAGAGAGAGAGAGATAGAAAGAGATAGAGATAGATAGAAATGGATTCTAAGTGTTTCGGTTTAATAATTGCAGAAATTGCATAGCGGCCTTCTTTACGGAAATTGTGGAATTAGAGAGATTTAAAAATACGAGATTAAAATATGGAATATGAAATGGCATTTTATTATGTAAAAATTTTTACTAACATTGAATACTTAAGGCATGTTTAGTGTTATTTAAAATTGTCCTATAATATTTATCATAAGTAATTATTCATAATTATCTATGATAAAGATAAGTTCAACAGTGTATGATTCTTGATCATTCTTTTTTTATCCATCAATTTTTCTGATTCTTAATATAAAATCTTCTTAATGTAAAATGATTTCTAATTTAAATTCTTAAGAGGTTAATTTAGACAGCCAATTGGAAGCATTTGTAAAAAGAATGAATCTTTACAGCTAACCAAAAATTGAAATATTGATAATTCTATCAACTGTTATTCAAGTTGTCGATGACTCATGTCCAAATCTTCATTAAATTGCCGATAATGATGATGCATCACGCCTTGGAAATAGTTACGTTTATATATTAATTAATTTATGCGATATTAATTGACAACTATTTCCCTCTAACATCATCCTAACGACAACAATCACTGCAATTTAGCAACTTAGAAAAAAGAGAATCTATAAGGAATAACAAGCAGAAATGGCATCTAATAGAAGAATAAAAGAATGTAATTTTCGATTCGTAATTGAAATAGTGCCAGATTTTGCAGATATGCTTGTCGTTTGTTTCAAGTAATCCTACACAATACTGATATATTAGCTATCAAATTGCATAAAAGTCAATGGAAATTTGATTAGAATTACAATAGGTCGGGTCATTCACTAATATCTCTTTTTATTTTACTAGAATTCAATTTAGTAACTTTTGATGAAGGATAGAAGAATAAGAAAGAGTTGCAATGTTGTTATCGTTATCATTTGCTCCCAAATTAATAATTTGTAATGACCTCCTTCTCTTTCCTATTGACCTCTTTCTGACCCCATTTTTTTTAATTAATGGTTTCTTTAATGATTTTTCAAATAAAAATTTATTGAATATTTTTTTCAACTTTATAATTAATTGGTAATAAATGATAAGTAAATTCATTTTCAAAAACTCATTAAAAAAATCAAAAATATATAAATTATCATTGTAATCGTTAGTGAGAGCGAGGAGAATAATTTAATAATGGAGTAATAGCATGGAATTATTTAATCCATCTTACAGTTGAAGTAACCAATTATAGCCTAACAAAAGGCTTCAAACTAATTGATATGTGTAACTATAACTGAATATTTTACTAAAATGGCCTAGATTTCGCTAATTAACAGAATAATGTCATCATCTGTCTGGGGATGAAGCAATATATTTGATCGGTGTGCAACAATTCTCAAAATGCCAGTCACTTACTTATTTATCCGATCCGATCTCCCTCTTTCTCCCTCTCTCTCCCTCTTTTGAAATGGGTTGTATTTTTTCCACCATTACTCATCCCTATCCAATCATTGTTTACCTTTTTTCAGTCCTTGTTTATCGATGTCCCTCACAAGCCTTCCAATTATTGCTTTCATTATTTCAAATTTATCGATAAATGCAAAATGCATAAGATGAAGCCAAAAAAAAAATCAAATATTCAAATTTCGTTTGGCAGTAATTTGTTTTTATTCTCGAAATTAATTATCTGAGAGAGAGAGAGAGAGAGAGAGGGAGAGAAGAAGAGGAGCGGATTAGCATGTGGAAGTGATGAATGAATAATTTTTCCCATTTTTATTTATTATTATTTCAAAAATGGTGTCAGCCTATGTAAATGTCTAATTTCTAGCAGAGGATAGAGGGAGGATAAGGATGTGGATGGAATGAAATTCCGATTTCATCGACAAAATAATAAATAATGTTTATGGATATTTTTATAATCTATTTGCTAATACCTGAATAGTGTTCCAGAATGTTTAACTCTTAAAGGCACGCACAATCATTTTGTTGACTGATGGAAGCCTAAGGCATTTCACGTTATTGAAAGTCTGGCTAACATCCAAAACAACCAAAATTTTAAACGTCTCCCAAAAATTTTATTTATTCTTGTGCATTTTCATTTATTTCCTAGCAAAAATTTTCTCATCCATTTTATCGATAATTTTAAATTTTTAGAAATCAAATGTATATTAGCTGAAGTGTTGTTGTATAGTGTAGTTGAAGTTATTTTCAATTCTAACTGAATGATACGAGTAAATGGTTGAATTAATTATATGTTCATTTTATTTCACTATTATATAAAATCTAATATGCGTAAAACTTTCCGAAAGCTATTCATCTCTTTTTTTTCCTATTCCGCCAATTTAATTGAAATGAAAAACTTCTCACCTTTTATAATTCAAATATTTCGCATTGATAATTTTTAGATTCGAAAAGGATATGAAATTGTTATTGCCATTTTTACCTTTTTCTTTTCTCTGAAAAGTTAAACTTTTTCGTTCATACTTTACAAACTAATTCTTCTCTCATTATATTTTTTAAGTTAAGACAAAAGGAATTATCATTTCAATAATAATAGTAAATCTAATAGATTTAATCAAATAACAAAAATATGGTTGAAAAAGATAGTTTGAAATTTTAAGAGATATTAGAGAAATGGTAGGAACGAATTCTTCCACAAAAAAATATATTATTTCATATTTAAATCAAATTTTAGTATTTATCTTATTTTTAGATATCATTCATTTATTGATAATTTCGAATTATTTCAC